TTGGATATTTCAATTCCTAAGCCAATGTTAAATTGCAATTTTTATTAATTGGGGGAATGTATTTATTTGGAAGATGAAATTCCCTTTTTTAAAAGAGATGAATTCCTTTTAAATTCAAATTGTATCAGCAAAAATAAAACCGTAAACAAATAGTCTGACTAAAGAAAAAAAATAGTTTATTTTTCAAAAAAATTTTTAAAAAAAATTTTAATTTAACACAGGAATATCTATATTTAAATATATAAGTTTTTAACAAAACTTTTGTGGTTTTAAAACTTTGAAGAAAAACCTTTTCATTCTTCATTATTGGAAGGAAATTTCAATAGACCAAAAAAAATATATAGGATTGAAGAATAAAACCAAAGGCAACCACAGGAATTTTTATTTCCAATTTTTTGAAGTCAAACTACATTAATTTTGGTTATTTGTTCCAAAAAGTGGTGGGGAAAATGCAAAATTATTTAAATACCAGGAATTAGATTCAGAAACAATGAACAAAAAGTTTTTCATCCAATGTTTTATTAAAAAAAAAAAAAAATTTAATAATTATAAAATTTTTATGCAATTCTATTTTTGGTTTAAATTAAAATTTAATTTGCTTTCCTCTTTTTGACAATAAATATATATCAAACTTTCTGGGTATAAATATCTTTTTCATTTGCATTTTGGGATGTTTTTTATGTTATTCCAATTCATTATGAAATAAATATATTTTTGAACAGACCTTTTTGAATAAATTATTTTTTTTATCACATTTTTTAAATATGCCTTGGAATATTTAAATACTTTTCAAATATATATATGAAAAAAAATTTAAAATTATTTAGTTCAAAAGATAATTATGTTTTTTTTTTTATGCCATTAAAAATTTTGTTCACACACACACAATTTGCCATAAACACAAACACAAATCAACATTGAAAACAAAACTATCCAAATATGTTTATATAAATAAAATATATATTTATAATATAAATTTTGAAAAAAAAAAATAAATTGTTCAAATTACATATTTTAAATATTGCACTATACATTAATCCAAAGTCTCAGTCATGCATATGTGTAAAAGACAGAACAAGTTCAATAAAAATTATGTCAAATTTTTTTATTGTTTTTAAATTAATTTTGGATAGCTTAAATTAATGGTAGGTACAAAAAAATAAAATTTTGATTTTAAATTTTAAAAAAAAAATGTTTTTTTCTAAAAAATAAATCAAATTTTTAAAAATGCATTTGGTGTTTCAAAACACGGATCTGCCAAGCAAACGCACTAAAACCAAGTTAATTGGTATAGTTTTTTTTTGAATTTTCCTCAAAAGGTAAAAATTTATAAAGAATATGACAAAGATCAAAAAGGATCTTCTAAGAACAACTATTTGATTCTATGAAAAAAAATAAATATGACATTTATTTGTTTTTGATTTTTAAAGAGAAATATTCTTTCATTAGATTGAATGGAAAATTTTGTCAACATTTTTAAAAATTATTAATAAACTTTTTAAAAAAGAATTTGGATAGTATAATTAAATTCAATTTCATGTTTTTGGATGTCTTTTAAAAATTTTTCAGAATGAAGATAATTTTATTTTATTTTTCAATTTTTTATTGAATTTTAAAAATTTAAATTTTTGTTTTTCACTTGATTTCTTTTTTTAATAGGTGAAAAAAAATCATTTGCAGTGGGGAAAATTTATTTCAAAACCAGATTTAAACAAGAACAAAGAAAAGATTCAATTTTAGTTTATCATTTAAAAATGAATTTTCTTTTAATTATTCAAATATTCACATTAAAAGTTTCTGTAAGTTGAAATTTTGAAATTTTTTTAATTTTGATTTTATTATTAAATTTAAATTTTCTTTTAATAAATATTACAATTTAAAAATATTTTATATTCTTTTATTTATATATCTTTTTATAGAATCAATTTATATTTGCACGCACATCGATATATATAAATTTATTATTATTTATGTGTAAATTTTTCTTCAGTTTATATATATATAGGGGAATAATTACAAATATCATTAAATTTTATTAAAATTAATAAATGTTATAACCTTGAAATTTTCAGTGCTATTTTAATTTGGTAGAAGGCAAAAAGGAAAAAATTTTTTGAAATTAAAGAGAAAATGTTACTTCAAAGTTTTAAAATCATATTATATTAATTTCACTGCAGTTTTATATAATATTTATATTATATTATAAATAAAAACTTGAAATTTCACACATTTATAAAGGTTTTTTTATAAATATTAATTTTTTCAGATTTTTTAAAATTTGTTTTAAATTTTAAATTTGGAATTGAATAAATTTAAAATTCCAAAAAAATACTCAATTTTTCCACCATTTTTTTATTAATTATAAAAAATTATTTTTTTTTATATAAATATTATTTAAAGACTTGAAAACAAAACTGGGAAAATTTAATTATTGAAATTTGAATTAATAAAAATGTTTTTATTTAAAAAAGAAAAATTGAACTTTGTTTATGAATTAGTTAAAATAATGCCACTAATTTATCAGTTTTGTTAATTACATTACATAAATAATAGGAAATTTTTCATTTACATAAAAAAATTCTCATTTTAAATAGTAATTTGAATATTTTTTTAATGTTCATATTTTAAAATTAAACAGTTTTCTACTTAAATTTTTTTTTTAAAAAATATTCTTTTACATTTTTTCCCTTTTACAATCAACAATGTTTATTAATATGAAGTCTGTTTTAGATTTGAATAGTTCCAACAATTCTTTTTATGTATGTATTGAAGAACCAGTGCAGAAAAAAAAAAAATTTTATCTGAAATGTTTATAGATAAATTTGTGTGCAAATAAAATTTCTCCTTAATAAAGAGTCAACTGAAGATAATTTGGTTTTTTTTAAATATTTTTCAATTGGACCATGAAAAAATAGGGAAAAATGATCACATTTAATTTAACATTTTTTTATAATTTTTTTGCCATTTTTTTTTTTAACAATTTTTTGATTATATTTCATTTTGGAATAATTTCCTCGGAATTTTTGTAATATTTTTCGTCCACCATAAAATTGCGAAGGCTTTGCTTTTTACAGTTTGCTTATTTGATTTTAGAAAAAAATGTAAAAAAAAGACAGACAGAGAAATTTTTAATAAACCCATTGTAAAATTATAGTTAAATAAAAAATTTTCTGATAAGAATGTTCCCAACCAAATGTTTGGTGAATAACTATTGAATTTTAAAATTGACTTAAAATTAATTTTTGTCTAATATTACCATTTAAATGATGTCACTTGGCTAAGAAAATATCTTTTTAAAATTTGAAAGAAATTTTAATTTTTTAAACCAACATCCAAAAAGCCATGGACCGTTTTTAATCATCAAAAGAACAAAGGAAGTATCATAAATTTGAAAATAACATCCAAGAGAGCAACTAATTGTGTCTTCTTGGTCTCACATTTTTCCACTGACATGAAGTGGAGTGATTTTGTTGAATTAATTGCTTGATCTGCTTCTACGACAGTTCACTGTGTCAAGACAATTTTTCTTGCAAGAATTCATCATAGATATTTATAACTCTATTGTTCGTCTGAGCAGTGAATATTGATGCTATATTTGGTCTGATGCTCCTGTTATATATTTAGAGATTCTCAACAAAATCTAAACAAGGGTCTGTAATGTTATTGGTCTTAACCTGGCATCTTGACTTCTGTTGCTTTCCCATCAATGTGACGTGCCTTTTCTATAAATATTTTCATGGCAATTTTTCTAATAAGCTCTCCTCCATGGTACCTTGACTGCATGAATTTAAGCATGCTACTAGATTGGCAATTAGGTCTCATTATTTTAGTTTTGAATTAGCTAGATGTAACCATAAATTATATTCTCATAGTTGTCACCTGTCAAACTCTCTTCTGGTTTCTTGCTAGACTACCACCTACAATCTTTAAAAATTTAAATGCAGTGTCAATTGCTATTTTGTGTCTTCCTAAAATCTGTTCTTTTATACTCTTTTCTCCTTACTAAAGTCTTCTCTTTTTCATTCATTCTTGGCATCTTAGTGGCATTATTGCTGTTGTGTTGTAAATAGTAAAGTTGGACATACCATATAGAAAGTAAGAAGTAATTTATTCTGAAGAATAATATGGTACACAATTGAGAAGATAGACTAATGTAATAAACATTTAATCATTAACTCCTCTCCCTCAGTAAGAGAGAGTACTGTTTAAATAGTCTTAGACCAGTCCATCTTGTGAAGGTGTTCAGCTACTCCACAACAGTTGCTTTGTTTGGGGTGAAAGGTTTAAAAAAATATAAAAAATATACTTACATGTTCTTATGAAACTTAAATTACCTGCTGTCAGTTTATATATCCATTTTCAAGACACTGTGGAATCCTGGTTCCTGTACTATTTCAAAACCAGCATAGACATATGGTTGTGTATGGTAAGATTTGTTTTGTGGTGCATTTTTATTATATAATGTGTTGGGAGTGTCTTTTACTTTAGTCAGTATCACAGAGTGTCCAGTTAAAACAAAAATGGTAGCACACATAAAAATAACCATCTTTTTTTAGTAATTTATTTCCAGTAAATGACAATTTCTTATTTTTTCCAAACCAGGCCAGCAATTTTTATACAACAATGGTATCACAATGCAGAATTTAAAATCTTAATAAATCCTACCTATGATTTTGTAGGTTACATAAACAAGTAGTTATACATAATAAATAGTTTTTATTTGTAATTTTTTTGTATAACACTTTGAATAATAAGTCTTTGTAATATTGCTTTGCATCTTAGAAAAAATTCAATTGTAAGTTTGCAATTTTAATTTATCAATTTGTCATTTTATTTTAATCTCAGCTCCATGTGACAGTCTTTGGCTTCATTCTTATGATGTAGCTGCAGAGTTGGATGTCCAGTCAATTTATTGTCATCTATTAACACTGCAAGTGTCATTGGACGCTTTGAACAAGAAGAAACATTTTTGGAACAATATTCTCTACTTAGGAATTATTATGATCAAGGTAAGGCTCATTTTCTATGGGGGGAAATTGGTCACCTACCTAAATCTGTCTCGGCGGATCATTGGGGAAAATTGTTCTTCTTTCTAAATCTGGCTCTGCAGACCATCGGAAATAATTAGTCACCTTTCTAAATCTGTCTCTACAGATCATCTGTAAAAATTGGTCACCTTTCTATATCTGTCTCTGTGGATTATTGGGGAAAATTGGTCACCTTTCTAAATCTGTCTCCATGGATAATGTGTAAAAATTGGTCACCTTTCTAAATCTATCTCCATGGATCATTGGGGAAAATTCATCTTTCTAAATCTGTCTGTGGGAATCATCGGAAAAAAATATATATATTTTATAAGTAACATATATTTGATACATAAGTTGTCTAGGGAAATTAAAACCGAACCACCCCTAATCAAAATAGATTGAATTTTCCTTAATCTTAACAACTCAAAAATATTAAAATTGAGTGCACTTATAAATTAAGTAAATTTCTTAGAACGTTATTTGTAGCATTGCTTCACATTGGAATGAAATTCTGGATGTTAAGTTAATTTTTTATAATTAAATTTATAATTTTAGTTTCATTTTTGAAACATAGAAATTTCTGTGTTGGGATGGAATCCTATTTTTAATAAATTATAATATTATGCTCTACTGTTTGCATCGAGCAATTTTTTTTTTTAAATAAAAATAATTCTTAAGAGCACTGGATTATAAATCTTACTGTTTTTTTTTTTATTTTATATTTTTTATTATATATATATATATATATATATATAAAACATTAGGCATCATAATTTGATTTTTATCAGAATTTAACAAAGAATATTTGCATTATTTAGAATTAAACATAAAAACTTGTTGTCTGAAATACATACAAAGAATGCTATCCATCCATAAAATAGATTTTAAAATCGACTTGAGACGATTATCACATAACAAAAGGTTTTTGAATATCTGCTATTGCCAGAAAACATAATATATGAAATTTTATTTAAAAATTCTGATGTTTCCATCCATAAAAGTGTATCGATATTATTATTACCCAATAATATAAAAAAATTTTTTGTACACAGGTTATAAAACATTTTGTTTTCATAAAAAAAAACTGAAATAAATTAAAATGTTCATCCATAAAACTACTAAGATTTTACACATTATATTATTGAACTATATACTTAGTTCATGACATAAAAACTGAATACACTTGTAAAAAATAGAATACGTGGATTTAACACATCACAAGAAATATTTAAATAAAATTCTCACTTAAAAAAATTTTGAAAAACTTAGCGTTAATGTCTTTGCACTAGAAGATCTCTTACAACCGTCAATAATAGCAGATATTCAAAAAACATCTTTCGGTCGACATACAGATATATCGTCTCAAGTTTTTGATTTTATAAGGAAAAAAAACACATGCCTGATGATGGATGGAAGACTATCCGTAAGTACTAGCATTTTAACATCAAATAAACTGAAAAACTACAGACAACAAGTTTTTCTTCAAGGATCAAAACTCGCACTATGGATGAACAGGATTTTAATGCATATATTATGTTTTCTAGCGATGGATGTCGCCAATAATCGCATTAATACTTCTGATTAATTCTATGTGTGATTATTCTTTGTATATATATATATATATATATATATATATATATATATATATATATATATTATATGTGTGTCTGTGTGCAGTTGTTTATTATATATATATATATATATATATATATATATATATATATATTTATTTTATCAAGTTGAATGTAATCTGATTTTATCATTTCCTGTCTGTAATGATTGTGCCTATTTTTCTCTGTCCAGGTGTCCAAATTGAGTAATGAAGTGAAACTTGAAGGAATGAAGGACAATGTCCAGTTGGAATGGTCAACCCAAGCCATGGAAACATTACTCAGCCTGGCTAAATATTTACCCTCATGCCAGAAATCTTCCACTCCACTTGTCTTAACTCCGTCTGCCACCGTCTCATCTCCTCTCGAGCCAAAGTCCAATAATCTGTTCAACTTAAATTCTTTCATCTATACAATCAATTACAAAATGTCCAACTTGAATGTTTTTGCAGCAAATAATTATGGTGGTAAGGCTTCTCTTTTTTTTTTTTTTTTTTAATTCAGAACATTGCTTGCTTATGGTACTTAATCATTTTTATTAGGGTGGGGATATCAAAAGTATTTTTTTGTTGCAGAGGTATAGCAAGGTAGTGGTAAATGGGGTGGGCAGTTGCCTCTAGGTGCAGATGTGATGGGGTGCAAATTTTTGCCCATGAAGAAATGTCCATCCGTAGCTTAATGTAGCCATGAATACCAGTTTTGGATAATTATGGAATTGTTTTTGCATGTAAACCAAAGTAAAGATATACGATCTTGTATTTTTTGTTTTATAAGCTATGTTTAATAAATAAACGGAACATCTACTCAAATATGAGCATCCACAAAAAATAACGTTTAAAGTGATAAAATCTGTCAGGTTAATAAATAAATCCATTACTTCTTCAAATATATATATATATATATATATATATATATATATACAGTGTGCAATGAGTAAATTACTACCATTTTATATTTTTAATTTCATGAATGTGTATTGTTTGTTTTTGATTTTGTTGACCACATGGTATAGTAGGGCCCATTGGATACTGAGAAAAAGAGCATTATGACTCAATTTGCTCTGCAAGAAATTTCAAATAACATGCTGTACTGCTTGGCATTCACACCACCAATATGAACATTTCACAGTGTTTAGGTGTCAATATGACGACAGTGCAGAGGATTTGGAAAGAGTTGGATGTCTAATGGTGATTACAAAAGTCATTTGGAATGATCACTCACAATGGCAATGTTATGCCTTCATTCATCTTCCAACAGGGCCTCAGACTCAACATGGAGTACTACATCAAGTTCCTTGAGGAGGTAGTGCTGCCCTAGGCCAAGAGGGTGGCTGCTGGAAAACCCTATGTCTGACAACAGGACTCTGCACCATGTCACGAAAGCAGGCAAACCTAGTTACAGCTGTATCAATCTGAGGACAGTGCACAGGATTTAGAAAGAGTTGGATGAGTCTAATAGCAATTACGAAGGTATGGCAGCTCAGAGAATTCACTCTAAGAAAAGAACTCCCAAATTTATTGGTAACATGGAGGCCTACATCAAGTGCCTTGAAGAGGTAGTGCTGCCTTGGGTCAAGAAGGTGGCTGCTGGAAGATCCATGCTAAACAAGCAGAAGAACCCAGTCATAGTTGTTAGACAATTTCTGCGATCATATAACCCCTTACATCTGGCCACCTAACTCCCTAGGATGCAATCCTCTTTTTATATTGTGTGGGAAACAGTTGAGCAAGACACCAACAAAACTCCTAACACCAAACATAAACAGAAGGCAAGGATTACGGCAACATTCACAAACAGGGAGACCATCCAGAAGAGTTGCAGGAGACTCTGAAGTCATCTGGAGGCTGTGGTTGAAGCCAATGGCAATTTTATCAAATAAATTTACTCTTTAGTATTTTAAGATATTTTTGTGCAATTTTCGTAAATATATGTTAAAATGAGATATCAGTGTTATTTTCATTTTTGCTTAATTGAGATGGCAATTTATCCATCGCACCATTATAGCAACCAATGAAAAAATTGTTTCGTTGATAAAAGAAGTTGGTGTTCTTGAATTGGGAAGCAGTTTATTTTTCTACCTCATCCATTGACGTGTGAGTGAATGTTGCCTTGCGCATTGGATTTCTGATCATTAACGTGTATTGGGATTTTTTTTACATTGGATCTGTGTTCCGTGATTTTGACATTTTTTCATGTTTGGACTTGGATGTATTTTGTTTTGTAATTGAGCTGCCAATTAATTTTCTGAACAACTAGGATGATGAAGCAAGAGACGCTCCCCAGAGACTTACTGCCCTTGTTGATACAAGTTGCTTGTGTTCGCTTATGAACATATCCAATTGTCATCCATGAAAAAAACAAGAGGTGGACATACTGATGGAAAGGTCCTTAGAAGTCGAGGAGTCACAAGCTATTTTAGCAATATGGCAATTTTGATATAAAATTGATTTCAGATTTTGACAGCAGTGGATCAATAGTAGAATGGATCAAGAAAGTTGAACTGGTAGGCAACCTCTGTGGTGTGAATTGGCTCATGATCATTATTCCCCTTTGACTGACTTGATTTGCAGGGTCTCAGCATTTGACCAAGGAAGCGAGAGCAGATGCAGCATGGATTAACTATGCACTGTTTTTGCTACAGACAGTTTCTCTGTATACAAGCAGTTCGAAGCTTGGAAACTGCATCCAGGTGAAACTGTAGTAGTTCATGTGGTCAATTTGAGAAAGTTAGTGGTACTGTTCAGGGGAATACCCTAATATGTGATGTTGTGTGCATTTGTCTGTGGACTCTTTGCTTGTAACCCCTTGATTTCTGAGGACCATTCCATCAGCATGTCTACCTCTTGTTTTTTCTGTATAGCGACACATTCGGTCAGCCTTCAGGGTGGACCCACTGCTGCTTAAGGAGTTACTGGCCTGGGCACTTATTAAGAATCAGAAGATGAGGAACTGGTGGTAGCAGCTGCAGGGCCCACCTAGTGTTCTCCAAACTGTGGGCCCTTCTGCAAGAATCAAGCACTACAGATGTAATGGCCCAAACCAAAAAAAAAGGGGCAAGCAACTTGGACACGTTGCTACCACTGCCATGTGCTAGAAGCCAGGGCACCTGTCATGAGATTGTTTGAGAAACAGGTCAGGGGGCAATGCGTCAGTGCCAGACTCGTTCTCCCCTAGGATGTAAATGCAGCGCTACCAGTTTTGATGTGTCTCTTACATGATCATGTCAGTGCCAGTCTCACTTCCCTGCAGATCATGAAAGAGATGCTACCTGTAATTGATGTATGCATTGATAGGATGAAACGTGCCACCCTTGTGGTGAGGGATCCATATCTGTTTTTGCTACATATACATTCCTCCTAGTAACATGTTAGTTGAATGTTGCCTCTGAAGCATAAAGCGAATTGCCATGAGAAAACCATGCTCAGTGATGGGAGCTGTATATTGGCATATTACACCCAACGATGACATGTCACCTTCCATCACACCCACTAATGGGATTTACTATTATAGCGTGCAGGCATGAGGTGTTGATAAAACACCTCCAGCAAAGCAAGAATGTGGATGATTGACATATGGGTTAGAGGACTATGTGTGGGTAAAACCCTCTTAAAACCGATGTACAACTCAATATCAAGTGGGATGTGTCACAGGGATTAGAAGCCTGCATGTGATTTGTGTTATCTGGATGCCATGTGAAGGATCTGTGCCCCTTTTTCATTTCAAACACATCAACAAGTGATGTCGATAGAGAGTCGTCTAACAATGAGGAACTGGTTAACATGAGAGATGCCTCGAGTATGTCCTTGGAAGAAAACTACACTCAGCCTAGTGGAAATACTTCTGATGGGAGTCGATTCATTGGGAGAGAAGACAGTTGTTGTTCCTTTGAGAAGAATCTAAGGTTTAAGAGACCCATCCCTGGTTGTTGCCAGTGTGATCATGTGATCAAGGGGGAGTGTGGTGAAAGAGAAAGTCACTTACCGAGAAAAAAAGACACGTGTGTTCTGTATGATATGCTGAAGACAAAATAACCAAATTTGAAACAAGTCAGTGGCAGCCATTGCCATAAATGCATCTCAGATATGCTAATATTGTTTGTCCTCTCCAACTGTTAACTTATGAAAAAAAATTACCAGTTGATGAAAAAGTGGTTGGTGTTTCAAAATTGGGAAAAGTTTTATTTTTTTCCCCATTAGTTTTTATATTTGTAAGTAACTGTTGCCTGGTATGTTGGATTTCTGACCATTTACGTATATTGGGATTTTTTACATTGGACTTGCGATTCGTAATTTTGACATTTCTTTCCACCCATGGATCTTTGAGTTTGGACTTGTGATTTATTTATTTCATTTTGTAATTGAGTTGCAATATCAATTTCTGAACAACCTTATTTAGATAAAGTAATTCTGAGCAGCATGTTTCCCTGCACGCACAAGATCAGTCTTCTTTATTTAAGAGATTTTATTTTTTTATATATGCAAATATTTTATATTATCCATGTTTTTATTTAATTTCTATTCAAACTCAGTTTTTGTCTGAAATCTTTTTCTTTCCTTTTGTCGTTTCAGTGTGTTTGCTGTTGTGTGTAGACAGCATATCTTTGGAATATAGACAATTGCAGGCAATCACATTCATTGATAGTTGTCAAGTACTCTATATTACATCAATTAACAAGGTAAGGCTACAAAATACTGAAGCAGGTCAAAACAGGTACAACACTTTGATCTTTTATTATCATGTAGTGAGAATTATATATTGTCAATCCTAAAGTTCATATGAATGTAATGTGTTAATTTTTCTTTAATTCACTCTAATCAGTGAGAACAGGAATTTTCTTTTTTTGCCTTCAGCCCAGTAAAACTTGCTTTCTGATTTGTACTCTTTTATTTTTCTCTACCACATTTGGTTCTACCTCTTTTTTCTTTTCATTTTATTTACAGTAAGGTTCACTGTGTACAAGGCCCAGAGGCCACTCAAGGTAGAGGGTTTCATTAATGGGTAGTTTATATGGATAGGAGAGGAAAATAACAGTTAACCCTAGACTTGAACAGATTAAGATTGTAGAAATATTGGTTGATAATTTTTTTTATAGTAAGGTTCACTCTGTACAAGGCCCGGGGGCTACTCAAGGTAGAGGGTTATGTTAAGTGGTAGTTTATATGGATAGGTGGGGAAGATAATGGTTAACTCTAGACTTGAACAGGTTAAAAAAATTATAGAAATATTGGTTGATAATCTTTTTTTTTTTTTTTTTTTTTTTTTTGTTACAGTAAGGTTCACCCTGTACAAGGCCTTGTGGGTGGGGGGGACTCGAGGTAGAAGGTTATGTAAAGGGGTAGTTTATATGGATAGTGTTGTGGTAAATCCTCCTACCGTAGAATGAACTCTTCCTCCTCTCATAAATACAAACTGCGAGAGTCGGATAAAGTGAGAAGCAAAGTGGAGAAGTAGATGCAGTGCTAATCTACTTATATTCAAAACAGTAGTGTTAGTAATATCTTCAATATACTTTTTCAACCTACCTTCATCTTCCGTGTCTTTCTTTCTGGCCCCTAAACAGGCCACAACAGATAGGAGGAGAAGTTAATGGTTAATTCTAGACTTGAATAGGTTAAGATTGTAGTGAGTGGGGAAACATCTTTTTGGAAGTTTGTCCCACAGAGCAGCAGTTTGTAGGAAGAAGCTGTTTCACTGGAACTTACTTCTCACCGATGGAATATGGAGGGAGTGTGGGTGGTTTACTACTATGTAAATGGCATGGTGGGTCCGATCTGGCAGAACCATGGAATGTATTTCATTGAAACACTTTCCATGGAGGTCACGACAGAGTAATGAGACATGCCACACCCCACCTATGAGAGAGAAGTTGGAGGGAGAAAAATAATTCTTCTCAAACAAGGATTCTGAGACACTTTTGAACTCTATCAAGACTGGAAAGTAAGTTCCCACCCAAATATGACAACAGTATTCCATTTACAGCCTTCTCTCTCTTTTATAAAGGTGGAGGAAAGTGGGAAGCGTCCAGTGCCTACTAAGCCCTGTTGGCTAGGGCTGTAGAATACACCGACTGCACCTCTGCAGAAGGGTAAGACCTCCCCCCCCAATGGGGCATCCTGGGTATGACGCTAAACTACATGCACGTCCAGGGTAAGACAATAATGTCCAACAGCAAGGCCTCGGATCAGGAGACTTTGAGGAGCGTGGAACCATCTCTTAATTGCTGATGTTTCCAGGTCCACCATGACCCGGGGTGGTAGCACCTGTTAGGGTCCCAGCTATAGGCAAATAGTTAACCCAGAAACTGAGGTAAAAGGCATTATAAAAGTATAAAAATAGGTTTTAATACCAGAAATACTTTGTAAAAAATTGCTGCCAGAGATAAATTTTTGAGGAAAAAAGATATTACCAGCAATGTTTTTAAAAAAAATAATATTACCAGCTATACATTTGAGGAAAAAAATATTTACAGAACTAGATTTTTGACAAAACAAAAATATTACCAGAAAAAAAAAAAAAGTTGTTGACATTGAAGTTGATATGCCATAAAACAAAACAAACTAAACCAGTACCTACTAAAATGGTACATTCTTTCTTTGAGTGTTTTTTTTTTTTATTTTATCTTTAGTATAACAAGGATCAGATCAAAGATAAAATAATTATTTGTTTTGGTCTAGTCCACATGTTTTTATTTCAGAAAATTTTCTTTGGAAGAGGTAGCAGACAGTTATGTCCCCTTGTTTTATTATTACCAACGGGATTAAATTTTAGCAAAAACATACTCTATTCCAGTAGTTCCCAACTGATTTTAGGCCATGCCCCCTGACTTTGGTATTTGTAAAATACTGGTGCCCCCCTCTGTAATATTTAATTCTTGCATTTTCAAAATTTTACTGAAATTCATGTGAAGGAAGCAAACTGAATGTTCACACACGTTGATTGGCTGACATAACATGAGCTCTTCCAGCGACATGCATCACGCCCTCTCCTTTGTTGACTGAGACACACGAGTGTAGGGAGACAGGAAATACCCTGTATACCAATTACACATGTATGTACATACACACAAAATATTTTTATGTATGCATACTGTATATGCATTGTATGTTTTAACATGCATTAACACTCAGACTCAATAGAAAACAAATCACTGTTAATAACTCATTCTCGAATTGACCTCTTATTCTGTTGGTATAGTAAGCTGAAGGGTGCACATCCTATGCATGCCCCACTGGTGGGAATCATTGCTCTAAAAAATTGGATTTGACCCAATCAATTATAACAGGAAATTCTTTTTCAAGAATTTATAGCAGAACGAGTCTTTTGCTAATGGTATGAGAAACTGCAGTGACTTTCATGTTGTGGTTTGATTGTTTTTTATGGCTTATCAACCTTTTGAAGGTTATTTAAAGCCAGAAAATGTTTTGGGATTGTAAGAATGTTTTAAAGATAATAATTATTTACTGATACAGGTTCTACTAATTAACCCATAGCTGGTGGTAGAAGAGGTGAAGTCATATCTTTGCCGAGAGTATTTGCGTATAAGTGAATATAATAATAACCTAACTGAAATTGGAACTCGATTCTTTGTTTTCCAATTCCAAACCCATATCCATTACACCACCTGCACATCCAAGCTGGCAGGACCTGGTATTCCCAAGTGGTTATTCATCTAGGCAGTGATCAAGCTTGATGTTGCTTAACTTTGGTGATCGTACAAGAATTGATGTTTCAATGTGATATTGCTGTAAGCCCCAAGGTGTGAGAACTTCTGGATAGATATTAAAAAACAAAATGGCATCACGTTGCCAGCAAGGCTCAATTCTTGATATGACTTTCCACTCCATCAGCTGTGTTCTTAGCTGTTTAATAGCTGGGTAGAGGGCCAGGGCATGAAATGTGCATGAGATATCTACCATATCTGCAGATACAATAAATTCCTGAAAATAACAAAGCCTAACAAATTTTGTTCATTTTTTTTTTTTTTGTTATCTTTTGTCATGCAAAAGTTTTCTTCTGTTCCATTTCCTGATCCTAATATTTTCTTCTTTTCATTTTGGGATCTTTCATAATTTAAACCAATCATTACCTCTACATCATTCAGTAATGGGCATCTTCATTGCAATTTCCATCCATGACCCAGGGAAACTTTTATTAGTCATCCATTATTATTACCCTAACCCTAAAGTCATAAGGTTTTAGACAATGGTCAATGAAATAAGATTATACAATATTTTCCTGGCATCTTCATTGCAATTTCTATCCATGACTCTGTGACACTTTTACTGGTCATCCATTTGTGTTACCTTAACCCTAAACTGATAATGTTTTAGTGAATGCTTAATCTCAATCAAGAGTTAATAAAATAAATTCTTTTGTCTCTTTTATATTTGTATCTTACAGTTTTATTCATTACAAAAATGTGCAGACATCAAAAACGCTGTTGTCCAGTTTCAAGGTGTGAAAATTACCTACAAACATACAGAAAAGGTAAATGTTTTTTTTTTTTCTTGAAATACTCTTATGTGTTTAATTATAAGTGAGCACTTTAATAAGGTGGGATGGTGTGAAATTTTACCCAATATACGCTAGATGGAGGTATTTTAATCAAAGAATGGTGTCAGAAAATCATTTAGGGTCACAAAATGAAAAGTTAATAATCAGTGGGGTTTGGTGGTACATGAAATTTCCTAAAACAAAATAAATATGATGCACTTAAAATTTATAAGCACTTAAAATTTATTCCATATTGTGAAAATCAGTCAAGTTACGGATCATATATTTTTGTTTGATGTTGGATTTTGGATCCACTAGCACCACTAAGTCTGCTGGTTTCGCTCCTGCTTTATTGCTTTTATTTTGCATTAACCTCAAACAAAAAGGCATGAACCCAAACATTTTTGTCTTTTATCTACTATTTTTGTCATGCGATCTTACATTTGTCAGTTTTGTTATGTTTAAGGATCATTAAATTTATTCATTTTTCTTGTAAATTTAATAGGAATAGAAAGATTCACCTATCATCTGAATCACAAGGTTTATCCCTTGTTTCCTGTTTAGGATTGGGTTTCTAATCCCTTTTAAAGTCTTTTCATTCTCTTTCATTTTCAATAGCCCCTTGCATCTTTGTGGCATTATCACCTTGCTCGAGGTGAATTGATTTTTTTTTTTTTAAAAAGTTGTAAATTTTATTAAGAAAAAATTAAAATAGATTATTTTAAAATGTAGAACATATACTTGTTGGTTGGTCCCAATGTTTAGAAAGATCAACTTTCAGTATAAGCTATGAAGCTCAATTGTTTCTGATTGTAATTTGGAAAAGAAATATTTTGATTTATTAAGAGGGCTACCTGATTGACTGATTTTTTTTTTTTATGGCTTATCAACACTTTGTGGATAATTCAAAGCCAAAAACAAATTTTGCATTTTAACAATAATATTTTTTTTCTTTTGCAAGTGAATATTGCATTAACAATTGTTTTGGAGATAATGATTTTTCCAGATACAAGACTTGCTATTTAACCTGTAACTAGGGGTAATTTTAAGAATGTTCTTTTATCTTGCATCATTCATGTGGTATATTTGTACCTCAGTAATTTCATAATTTTGTGACCTCACTTTTGCCAGACAACAGATAATTTTCAGTTGATTTTATATTATTACATATTAGATTTTAGCCATTTATTAATTTTTTTTAATGATTTTTCTAATAGTGTGAAAAATATAGCCACATTTTTAATGTAATTCATTATAAATTATAATAAACAAAATATTTGTCTGTTTTGGGTATGAAGATAAACTACATCCATGTCCTGGGTAAGATGATAAACTGTTTGACAGTAAGATCTCTGATCAGAAGATTTTGAGGATCGTGGAAACATTTCCTAATTGCTGGTGTTCCCAGGTCTATCCTGAGTGGGGTGGTAGCAACTTTTAGGGTCCCAGCCATGGGCAAACAGTCAAACACTAAACTGGGGTCAAAACACTATGAGGCAGTAAAATTAGGTTTTAATACCAGAAATACTTTTTGTAAAAAATTATTACCATCAATAGATTTTTGAAGGAAAAACAATATTACCAGCAATAGATTATTTGAAGAAAAAAAATATTGCCAGCAATAGATTTTTTGAAGAAAAAAAAAAAGCTATTATCAGCAATAGATTTTTTGAAGAAAAAAAAGCTATTATCAGCAGTAGATTTTTTGAAGAAAAAAAAAAGCTATTATCAGCAATAGATTTTTTTAAAGAAAAATAAAAAACTATTACCCGCAATAGATTTTTTTAAAGAAAAAACAACTATTACCAGCAATAGATTTTTTGAAGAAAAAGAAAAACTATTACAAGCAATAGATTTTTTGAAGAAAAAAAAAAAACTATTATCAGCAATAGATTTTTTGAAGAAAAAAAAATATTACCAGCAATAGATTTTTTTAAAGAAAAAAAAAATTATTACCTGCAATAGATTTTTTGAAGCAAAAAAAAATATTACGAGCAATAGATTTTTTTGAAGAAAAAAAAAATATTACCAGTGTCCGCATTAAATAACCCATTGTGGTTGATATGCCATAAAAAAAAATATATGGTTGCTTGTGTTAAAATCAGAAGATAAAGGAACAAAATGAAACCATATCTTGTGCTCAAATAAAATTTACAATTTTTCAATTTACAATTCTCTGATTGTAATTTGAATTGCCTATGGCCATATTATGTTAAAATACTGCTTCTTGTCCCATCACTGATCATCGTTGAGACTGGTCAGTACTCGGGTAACCACTGGGTAATACCGGGTTTCATAAGCTACATGTCAGGCCTCCTTGATATATGGAGTTTCTTCTGGAATGACAGATCACAAGAAGTTAAGCAATCTTGTGCCTGGTAAGTACTAAAATGGGTGACTGCTGGGGAATACCAGGTGTTGTAAGCTATATGACAGGCTGAGCAAGCCGATCATGGATACAATCTCACTACTTATGTACTAACAGAAGAACTCAAAATGTGAAGATGCTTCTGGACTGACAGATCACAAAAAGTTAAGCAGCATTGAGCCTGGTTAGTAGCCAGTTGGGTAATTGCTGGGAAATATCAGGTTCTGTAAGCTATGTGACAGGCCTAGCAAGCCAGTGATGTTGACAATCTTGATACTTGTACTAACAGAAAACCTCAATATATTGATGTGCTTCTGGACTGACAGATCACAAGAAGGTAAGTAACATTGAGCTTAGTCAGTACTCAGATGGGTGACCACTGTGGAAATACTAGGTGCCATAAGCTATGTGACAGGCCTAGCAAGCTGGTGATGGATACAATTTCTCTACTTATATACTAACAGAAAAACTCGAAATGTGGAAATACTTCTGGACTGACAGATCACAAAAAGTCTTTGAGGTCTTCTGTTAGTACAAGTTGCAACAAGAAGTTAAGCAACATTGAGCCTGGTCAGTACTTGATTGGGTGATAACTGGTGAATACCAGGTTCTGTAAGCTACGCAACAGGCGTTGCAAGCCAGTGATGGTTACAATGTTGCTACTTGTACTAACAGAAAACCTCAATATGTGGAGGTGCTTCTTGACTAACAGGTCATAAAACCTACCTGGAGTTTGATGAGTGAATGGTTGGGTTTGAAATCAGGTTTCGGTTTTTATACATTTTGTTTTTGTGAGTCAATTTATAAACCACTAAATTATGGTTCAAGTTACGGTTCAAATCCAAAAACATAACTGACAGATCTCGAACTATGTTGACGATGGAAGTGGACAAATCACAGATTGGAAAGGGACAACATCCACATTTTCACATTTTGTCAGATGATAAGCTTCCATGGCTAAATTTTCTCTAAAATAAAGAAAAAATTAGCATATTCTTTTAAATAGCATTAATCTGACAGGTTACTCTATCAGTGCTCCTGGTACCATGTAACTCAGTACTACCTGCTGCATGGTCTAGTCATTGTTGACAAAACTAGTTCCCCCCCCCCCGGTCAGGTTATGATTAGGAGGTTGATTAGACATCTTGCAGGATTAAAGAAAGACCCATCAAATGGTGGATTAGCCTTCTTATAGGGGTCAACAGTCATCTAGCATAATGGGGTAGACTAGACTCTATAGCTGTGTATGCAGCTAGTGCGATGATAACCCAGTATTAATGGGGGGGGGTCTACACTAGTCAACAGTCAGGGCAGAGGGTTCCCCCAGATGAAATAGGTGGCCATTTGTCTGTGACCAAGGGGAACCTTCAAATTGGAGGATATCAAATATAGATTGGCATGGAGAAGGATGGGCTCCACCAGGTCTATTTAACTAAGACATGCTATGCATGAATGAATACCTCCCTGGCTTTCAACTCTGATATGTAGAGGCTACCCTGGTGCTTGGCAGTGCAGTGATCCTATGACCACACCCTATCATGGGACAGATGATAATGATGAATCATGCCTGTATGGAATTCATTAAATTATGGATCATCATGCATGTGTTTATGGCATTAAATTATGGATATTCAAGCTTGTATGGATTTAATTAAGTTACGGATTATCAGGCCTGAGTTGATTTTATTATGGATATTCATGCTTGTATAGATCTAATTAAATTATGGATTATGAATCATTAGGTCCAAGTTGATTTCATTAAATTATGGATAATTGGGCATGTATGGATTTTATTAAATTATGAATATTCAGGCTTGTATGGATTTCATTAACTCATAGATTATGGATTATCAGGCCTTTATGAACTTCATTACATTAGATTTTTTTGTTTCACCAAGTAAGAACTGGAGAGTATCCCATTGTATAAATATGGAATCACCTAAGCTGAGCTTATTGATTTATTTGGCACTATTTTCTAAAGAAAATAACCTTCTCCTTTATGGATTGTTATAGCGAAGAAAAATGGCAACTTACCTCATTAAACCAAGCGACAGCATGTCATGTGTATCCTACGATGGAAAATGTGGCAAAAAAGAAAATTACTTACCAAAAGAAAAGGGCACATATTCTGCATGACATGCTGAAGATGGAATATTTTAGAAACAAGTCAGTCACTATAAAAGTATTTTGATATGCAAAAATTGAGCATCCTCTGCCAGTTGACGACGAATGAAAAAATGCTCTGCCGATAAAAGCAAAAGAGAAAATAAAATTCAGGGATTTTGGCTACCGCATTTGTTGGAGAGTGAGTTATTTTTCTGACTGATTACATGCATTGTGATTTGTCAGATAGTACCTGTGAATCGAGTTTTCGGCATTTCTTTCTGCCCCCGATGTTCGAGTCTGAAGTTACAGTGATTTGTTCTGCGTTGTGGAAGTAATCTGTGACAAATATTTCCTTTGCAATCCCAAATCGCTTACAACTGTCTATCCCAGAACGGCCATTGAATGATGATAGGCAAAAACACGTTTTGGTAACAGTAGCTGCATGAAGAATGAATACAAAAGTTCGAATAAATGTTGCAAGGATAAAAACTCTTCTTTAAATTCTTAACTGTTTCTTTGATTTCATTTTTCAGGTTTGGATCAGAAAGACAAATCCATAATAAAAGATAAATCCGTGGAAACCAAAAACAATATTAAAAAAAGGTTATTTCTTTTGTCATTACAGGAAATGACTGTCTTGGTGCTAAACGAAATCCAAATTGTATGGAAAACTAGTGTCCATTTGTGCCTCATCCGCTTCCTTGAAGATTTTGCCAACCTCCGCAAAACACTGGCATGTAAGTTTGAGTCTCGGTTTCTCAAGTTTTTATGTACATTATTTAGACTATTATCCTCATCATTATTATTACATTGTTTTGGATGTTGTTGGCTTTGTCCTTCATCAGACGCTTGTCGATTTCTATGGGGTAAAAGCCAAGTGGATTAAATCATTGGTTTGTGAATTTGGTGACATAATGATTGTGAGCTCAATCCATGAGCCAAGTAGTGCAGATTCAGATTTAGTGGAAACAAGCAGCAAGATGAGATATCCTTCGATAGAATGAGAAGATGCATTCTAATTCTGTCTGGAGATATCTCATCTTGAAACCCTGCCAAAAGGTACATTTTCTATATTAAAGACTTTCAACAACCTGATCCTATATATATATATATATATATATATATATATATATAAAAATGCAGATTGTGTGTGTGTGTCTGTACGTTTATATATTGGATCGGATTTCCTACATTTTTCAACTGATTTCAACAAAACTTCAATTGTTTATAATAAAGTTCTATTCACCAATTGATAGACTCATAACGATTGAAAACAATATTTTTGTTTGAGTTTGGGTTTGACCAATTCGTAAAAAAAAAAAACTACTTAAGACATACGTGTCCGTCAACCTTAAACAATAATCTTTGTCAATTTTATTTTTCAGTCTTTATGATAGTGGATACTTGATCTATCTCTTACTGTTATATCCCCGGCAACACTGGGCTCTACTGCTTGTATATATACATACATACCTACATACACATATATATATATGTATGTATGTATATATGAAGAAATATAGTCTTAAGATGTGGTATATTTATGGGATAAAGTGCTCAATATCAGAGATAGAGCATGTGTAAATATAAAAGTGAACACAGAAGTCAACACTTAGAGGCAACAGTCTGTTTCATGCTAGATAATCGTCAGGCCACACCTGTGCCCTGACATTTTAAAATATATATATATATATATATATATATATATATATATATATAAAGAATGGATTTTATTTTTTAATTCAATATATTTTTATTACTTGTTATTTTTAGCGGATGCCTCTACTTGAGTAGAAACTCTATTTATTTCATCTACTCTAGATAAAGCCGAGGGTTCAGTTCAAAATTCCCTGCAGGCTATCCAGATCAAAAGAATCCTGATAAAAGTTGGAGAGCACAATGGCCAAAACATTGTGATAATAACAACAAAGATGAGGACATTAGTCTGAATGTAAATAAAGATAAATATGACACCATAACTGGTGTCAAAGTTTGACTAGAGGTCTAATTTTTATTTCTAAAGAAAGAAAAATAATTTTCATGTTAAAACAATGTGATACCATGAATTTTCTGGTTTGTGTCACTTGTGGAATATAGTGTGAGAGGTGAAATTGTGATTTTGGGTGGGATTGGTCATTAGGTACAGTTTTAGATCTGTTTAACTTGAATGTTGTTTTCATTTGATAAAGGAATTATTTGTTGAAATGATTGACACAAAGTAAATCTTTATAGATCAGATTTGTTTTGATCAGAGATATAGCACACTTTCAAATGGAGGTGATGATGACACCAGTGATCATCAAGTCAAATTTAGGGTGATATTTTGGAACATGGAAAATGTTCCACTGAATGTGGATATGAATATTGGAAGGCTGCAATTTTGATTGGCCCACCAGTGAGAGAAGGGCTGGGATAGAGCTTCTTGTCCCGACTATGATACTTATTTTGATTGGACCACCAATCATATTGGGTTCTTGGGAGCTTTTCTTCCTTCCCTTTGAGGCGTATGACACAAGACCATTACTCAAGCATTATTATTGGTTACCCAATACCATCGGTCAAGCATTATTATTGGCTGGCCAATCAGAGCAGTTCAATTGAGGTTTGTACTCCATAAAAGCAGTCACTGAAAGAGTAGAAAAAAGATTGAACTGGTCTCGCCGCTAGTAGACCAACAAGTCCCCCTCTTGGATGACCACAGTGCCTCAATCAGCTAAAGACCTGTTTTCTATGCCACTTTTTGAACCCCCTCGATCAGTTGCCTTCATTTAAAAATAGAATTTGGGTTGTTTAGCCATAACTACAACTGCCAGTCAACCTCTTCCTCCCAGCTGAAGATTTCATTATATGAGGAAACTTCTTCAAATCCCTTTTGTTTATGTATTCATGATCATAATCAATCATAGTACCTGTTGGGGTGCACCCACCTTCTAACTAGAAATGGACTGGTCCCTCTTATATAAGTCAGCTCTAGAGAGAGGATGGGTAAGCTTATCTGGACTGCTGTCGCTGACACTCTCTCTCTTGCTCTCCCGTCCTCTCTCTAGAGCTGACTTATATAAGAGGGACCAGTCAATTTCTAGTTAGAAGGTGGGTGCACCCCAACAGTACCATAAATAAAAGTTGTTATTTTTACACTTATTAATGAGTGTTGTTGAAGTTAATTAAGTTTACTGGTGACTTTAGTCCTTAAAAAGCATAGCCAGGATAGAGTCAAGCCTGATCTTTGACAGTTCTTCACCAATATTCCTGTGGATACTGAAACACAACAGACATGGACCAAAGTAAGAGTGGCATTCAACAAAGCATGCAGCAACAGGGCCACATAAATCCTCATCCTAGAAATTCAAACAGAAAGTGATCAGTTGATAATAGCATCAAAGATGAGGATATTAGTCTGAATGTAAATAATGATAACACCTCATCCAAGAAATTCATATGGAAGGCAATCAGGTGCTAATAGCAACAAAGATGAGGATATTAGTCTGAATGTAAATAATGATAACTCCTCATCCCAGAAATTCATATGGAAGGCGATCAGTTGATAATAACAACAAAGATGAGGATGTTAGTCTGAATGTAAATAATAACTCCTCATCCTAGAAATTCAGCCCAAATATTGATCAGATGCTAATAACACCAAAGATGAGGATATTAGTCTGAATGTAAAGAATGATAACTCCTCATCCCATGAATTCAGACAGAAATTACAGTTTTTATGTAAATTGGTGATAGCAATATTGATTTTTTATTAAATGAATCCTTTTCAATCATTGTTAATTTTTTATTACTGGGTGCAGCATATACATTTGCTCTTTATTCATTTTATTATAAAATGCTTTAGATTTTGGTCAATGAAAGTTAATGATAGTGAAGCTCTTTGTAGCTAAATGTTTAAACATGCTGGATTAGACAATGGTCTCTCCTGTAGTTAAATCCTACCAGAAGGTACATTTTCTTTAACAAATTTTCTTATTAAGAAATCAATGTGACTTGGACCAAAATGATTGAGACTTTGAGAGCTGATATATACAGGGCAGGTTTGAATGGGTTAAATGCTGAAAGGTTGATTAAATCAATATTTTCATATTGAAAATCATTTTCTGTACAGCTGTGCATATATAAGAATCTTATTTTTTTAAATAGCCATAAGAATAGAATTTTAACTTGCAATGACTTGTGAGATCTGTACCCTTTCTTAAAGACTGCAGACAGATGCTCAAAGTCTTCAGTTTCTTGTGTCCTGTTAACTGTTTTTTTTTTCCTTTCATTTCCAGCACATTCATTTTTCTCTTTTAATATTCTTTATTTTCTTATTAGTACTCTCTTCAAGCAGCCCCACACCGAAACAATTGTATGGCCCCACAGATATTGATCAAGTGGGAGTCTCGGTCAATATTATTCTCCATACCAGGACAATTCTTTCAGCTCATCTACCAAGAAACCATCTGTGAGTTACTTATCCTTTGTTATTATCTATATCTTTCAGAAGAGTTAATATCATTCCAGGTTTTGTTTAGGAATTCGGTTAGTTACATTGAATAAGATTATGACATTAATGCATTAATACCCACCATAAAATCTTATATTATAATTATGATGATATTATTATATATTGCTATTTATATTTGTTATTATTATTATATGTTGTTATTATTATATATTATTATTATTATTATTATTATATATTGTCATTATATTATCTTAATGTTATTTTATTATTATATTGTTATTATATCATATTGCTTATATATATATATTATTACATCATTATATTATATAATTATATTATTGTTATTATATTATGATATTGTTATTGTAATTATATTATATATTATGTCATATTATTATAGTGTTATGTTTTTATTATGTTATTATTATGATATTGTTATATTATTATTATATATTATGTCCTTATTATGTTATAAAATTTAATGAGAATTGCTGTTGAGGAACTTTATATATATGTCCAGACTTTACAAATTTAATGAGAAGTACTAGATTCCTCTATAGGTCCCATCATTTTTACAAGATTGGCAGCTAGGTCCCATCATTTTACAAGATGAAAATCTTTGCTAATAGTTTCTTATTTTCCACTTCTCAGACATGGAACTCTCTTCTATTTGCTTTCTAATCAGTTTTATCTTCAAAAATTTAAATGCAATGTCAATCATTATCTTCTTTCTTCTTAATTTCTCATCTTTGCTAGATCATATACCTATACTACTTACTATGTAAGACCTATACATAAAAAAAAATTAGTTTTAAATCTAAAATTCCCAGCAACTCTCGGTCATGCATATGTGTCATCATGTCAACATAAACAAACTTAACTAAAGGTTGAAACTTTTTCCTCTTTATCATAAATCGTTTCCTCACCTTAATAATGTTTTTTTTCTTATATTACCTTACACTCAGTAACCCCTTGTTTTTTAGTGGTTCAGGTGAAATTATTAAAAACAAATTGCTGTGTCTGGTAAATTGTTGTCAATTCAATTTTTTTAATATAATTTATTTTAATACACTCCTGTTTAGCTGATAATTTCATCCTTTTCATAAGGATTGAAATCATTAACATTAGATGTATTTATGTTTTAATGAAACCTACATTGGCAGGTGTGTGTGTGTGCGCGTATATATATATATATATATATAGGATGCATTGGATAAATTGTCATCTAATTTACACAAAAATTAAAATAACACTGGCATCTCATTTTAACAGATATATTTACCAAAATTAAACAAAAATATCTTGAAATAATAAAGAATAAATTTATTCAATAAAATTGCCATTGATTTCAACCACAGCCTCCAGATGACTTTGGAATCTCCTGCAATTCTGGACAGTGTCCTTGTTTAAGTTAATGTTTCGACAGATGTAATAGAAAGGGAGGAGGGGGATGTGAAAAAAGAGAAGAAAAGCAAGTGTTTTGTAAATGTATTGGTGGGAGGTTAAATTACTTTTTTATCCAGCCTCATATGCTCTTAAGAAAAATTTTCTGATATGTAAAGCAAGGACTTAAGACTTCAGATTTCTGGTTTAAAAGGTTTTTTTTGGATCTGGAAATGTCAAAATCGCTAATTTTTCCTGTTGGCAGAGGTTGCAAATATGGTTGTGATTGTTGTACAGTTTTGCCATTTTTAAAATTTTCCACCTTACCAACTTGTATTTGTTTATTTCTGAAAATAATAATGTAGTCTTCTTTAGTTTGTATTTTTTTTTTGAAAAATTAAAAAAGCGTTAGGTGGTCATTTGATAAAAATCACCCAAGGAGACCATAAGGTTGAAATCAAGATAGCAGATTCAACTGATCTCCTGATTTTAAAAGGCTCTACATGCTATTTTTACTTTTGTTTTTTTAAATGTTATTTAATACTGTTTATTATAAACAGAGCATTTACTTAAATACTTGTATCTATAAAAAGAATGTTAAACATAAAAATGTCTTTAATAAATTGTCGGACTTTGTCCATTTCTTAATGTATATATATATATATATATATATATATATATATATATAGACAGGTAGCACTGTAAGTTTCATAAAGTACATATGATCTTAATGATTTTAATGTTTTTACTTTTCCAGGATTACTTTACAAACAGATAGTTTAGTATTGTCAGTGTCAGCCAATGAATTTGTGACTGAAGTTAATCAGATGAACATTGAATTTGATGACCATGCTGTCTTTAATGTTGAGGTCAGTTCCACTTTGTTTTTGTTTTTTTTCTTTTGTTTTCTTGTATATGATGTCAATAAAAAGAATTGAGTTACTGGTTTCAAGTACCTAATTGGTGATGCTCATTATCATTATTAATTGCCACTGCCTTAGAACATTCAGAGGGAAATTAACAGGAGATAACTGACATCCATCAAACATGGCACGTGGAACTAGAACAGTCTACCCCAATGAGCAAAATAAAGGGTTCAGTTCGACATTCCAACCACCTGAAGAAGGCCGATGTGTACAACGGCCAAAACAGTGTAATAAATATGGCGACAAAGATGAGGGCAATAGTCCGAATAATGTAAATCATGTACATAATACCTCATCTCAGAAATATAGACAAACAAATATTAATATTCAACCCTGTGTATCTGAAAATTTTAATATTTTTCATTGTTCAAAACATATATATATAATTTACCTCTTGCCTTCATACAAGTGTTTTCTTTTCTGTGAAGAAAATATATATATTTATTACTAATATAAATTTTAGCTCTGTTATACATCAAGCACTGTTTTATTAGCACCTGCACTCAATGTGTGTGATATATATATATATATATATATATATATATATATATATATAATCCCTCACCAATAGCATGCACAATGCAATCTTCAGGTGCTGAGTATAGACATTATGTAATTTAAATTTTAAAAGATATACCTGTGTGTTTATATATATATATATATATATATATATATATGCACACGCACAATAGAGGAAAGAGTTTTATATTAGAGTTTGTATTTTTTATGCTGTGTATTCTCAAGACATGGGCAATCATAGTTCTCCACATCTTCCTTACTCTTCTTGCTCTAAGTAACTTCTGATTCTTTGGCTTTGTTTTATCAGCCATTCACACAAACTTATTAAATCAGCAATTCATTCTTTTGCTCCCTTTTGTCTTCAATATATGCCTGTGAGTGTCAAATTCTCCAAGCTCTCCTTCTTCATTATGTGTCCCAGAAATTTCTGCTGTCTCTTTCTGCTGGTTTTTCACTTGCTTTAAATGAGTGTATATAAGTGACTCATGGTTATTGGTGTACAATATTGGTATGTTAAAATGTTTTTAAAATGTCTCTTTTGTTTCTATAAATGTTTGGGCTTACTTATTTTTGCTTGTTCCAAGAATTTTGTGGTTAAGGGAAGCATTTGAAACCGTTAACTGTGGATTTTCATGGAGCAAAGAAGATACGTCTGTGCTGTTCCTTTTTACTACTGCTACTGCTATTCTACTTTACTGTTTTTGCTTGTGGTAGAAGAATCATTTTTATAATGATGAAGTTTAAGATTTTTAGAATAATGAAATATTTGATTTTTATTTCCAGAAGACTGTTTTTAGAATGATGAAATATCATCGTTCTGGATCATAACAGGCTAATCTTATCGTTACCATATTTTGATTTGAATAACTTGTAAAAGTCAAATAACTTACCTTCTAACATGGCTGTCTCCTTGTAGAGAGGCAAGCCAGCTAATCTAACTCATTTATAGGAGATTACCTAATACAGCAGGTGGCTTAGTCCACTTTACAATAATGGACCTGCCCAACATATTTGCATGAGTGGACACTATTCACTTATATATCTCTCCATCAAATCACTCAGTGGGTGTATTTTCATTTGAGTTTTATTCCCCTCCTTGTTCCACAGACAACGATTTGTACATATGGGGACTTTTTAGGAATTTCATTGAGACAATGAGGTATTTTGGTGGAACTAGTAAGAAAGGTAAGTATGAATGTGTTGTTTTGGTGGGAGGAATATTGTTTTGTATGATTGGGTCAGTGGTTGTGTCTAGCTAAGTTTTAAAATTAAGACAGATGATGACCGTCCTTCCCCACCTTTTTTAGGCCTTGTGCCACATTGTATTTTTTTCTACAGAAATAAATATTGTATTTTCATTTGAGTGACTACTACAGCCTACCTAGCAATTAACCAATGTTCAACATAACTGAAGCAACCATTAAGAAATTGCTTTATTCTTGTTTTGGGATTAAACAAAATCTATAGTAAGATTAATTACTGATCTGAACATTATTTTTTTTTTTTTTATTTGATACAACAAAAGGAGTGAATTTGGTGAGAATTGAACTGTTTTATTTCAGAGTTTATTGTCATTGTTATTTCAGGGCTTGATGGTTGGAACTTTGTTAGCCAGTCAAATACAAAGAGAAAGGGAAGTTTTTAAAGGACTCGACCCTTACAATAATGCTTGGTATGAAATGGTATTTTCTCTCTCTCTCTCTCTCTCTCTCTCTCTCTCTCTCTCTCTCAACCTAATCACTTTTTCTTTTTAAAAATCAAATGCAGAAAAGAACATCGTGCTGATGTTTAAATCTTTTAATCCAAAGGAGGATTTGTCATGTTCCCAGCCCTGACATCTCAACCTCAGTCACTTTCCCAACACTGTGATGTGGCTTCTTTCTGCCTTTTCTATAAATATTTTCAGGGCGGTTGTTCTAATGACCTATCACCTTTGCTACCTCGACAGCGTGAATTAGTTGTATTATTTACATTATTCATACTGTTATCCTCATCTTCATTGCCATATTCACAACATATCGGCCATTGCAACTCCAGCCTTCTTCAGATGATTGGAATTTCAAAACCAAACCCTTTATTTCATCTACCGGGGGTAGATTGTTCTATTTCCACATGCCGTGCCTCTTCTGGATATCTCAGTTATTTAAATAGATTTAAATTCCAATCATCTGAAGAAGTCTGTAGTGTGTAACAGCTGAAATGTGAATATGGCAATGAAGATGAGGATAACAGTCCGAATGATGTAAATAATACAAGTAATCATAATACCTCATCTCAGATATATAGACAAAGCATGAATTAGATTGACAGCAAGTCTCATTGTTTTACTGTTGAAATAGCAAAAGATCCAACTGTAAATCTATTCTAATAGGTTTTTTCCTCGCCTGTAGAACTCTCTTCTGATTTGCTTCGCTTCATTGTTCAAAAATTTAAATGCAACATCAATCACCATCTTATGTCTTCTTGAAACATCTTATTATACTTTCTTCTCACTAAAGTCTTCTCATTATCTTTCGCTCCCAGTAATCTTTGCATCTTAGTAGCTTTATATCCTTGCCTAGAGTGAAATGATTAAAAAAAAAAAATCACAAAAAATGCATTTAAATCAAACAGTATTACTTATAAGTTTCACATTTCCAAGTTGAATGGAGAGCAAATTCTAATACTACACTAATTTTAGCATTTTAGGGTTAGTCATGGATAAGTTCATAATTCTGGGTATGAGGATAAACTACATCTGGCAGCAAGGCCAATGATTGAGAGATCGGAGGTTTTGAGGAGTATGGAACCACCTCTTAATTGCTGTTGTTCCAAGGTCCACCCTGCTTCAGTGTGGTAACACCTGTTAGGGTCCCAGCTATGGGCAAATAGTCAACCCCCAAACAAAACACTAGGAAAATATAAAAATACTTTTTTTATAGTAAAAATAACAGCAATACATTTCTATAAAAAAAAATACCAATCATAAAACTGCAATTACAATTACCATCTTCTACTATCAATGAATAAAGAATGAATTCATATGATGCATTGCAATTCCTGCTCCATAATACACATTCTTTTGAAAAACGGTAAAAGTCATATGTGGTATATGACATTGTAATTCATATTGTTTCTATCTATATATCTATCGCAAACTGTTATCTATCTGTTTATCTTAAAGCCTGTTCCTATCTAACGCCTCATCCCAGAAATTTAGACACAAGACAATCAAGTGATAAAAACAACAAAAATGAGGACATTAGTCTGAATATAAATAATGATAACACCTCATCCCAGAAATTCATATGGAAGGCGATCAGGTGATAATAACAACAAAAATGAGGACATTAGTCTGAATATAAATAATAACACCTCATCCCAGAAATTCATATGGAAGGCGATCAGGTGATAATAACAACAAAGATGAGGACATTAGTCTGAATATAAATAATGATAACACCTCATCCCAGAAATTCATATGGAAGGCGATCAGGTGATAATAACAACAAAGATGAGGACATTAGTCTGAATATAAATAATGATAACTGCACATCTTCAAAATTCAAATAAGTATTATCTATGCTAATTCATATAATTTCTGTTCAGGTACCATTTTTTTTTAAGCATGTTGCCATCTTTACATTGAAAAGCACAAAATCAAAAATTAAAAAAAAAATATCTTTAAAACAAAGTTTGTCTTGAATTGTCTGCCACTAAGGACATTTTGAAAATCTAAATCATTTTATTTTTTTGTTTTTTTATGACAGGACAGTGGAACTGAAAAAACTGATTGTGGAATTTCCATACAACTACAATTTCTCTGCTTGTTTTGAGGAGGTGAGAAAATTACATTATAATTTTGCATTTATTCATGCTTTATTATTTACCAATAATGCAAAGGTGAGTGTCATATATCCTACTATTGAGCCTCCAGGTGGGCAAAATTAGTTGATAATCATTTGTTTTAGTCAAAGAAAGTTCTATTGGGTTGGTGCATAATTATCAGGCGTTTTTGTAGGCGAGTTATTTGTTAATAAAAATTGCTGTTTTGTTTATTTTTTTAATAAAAATATTTTATTTTCAGGTTATAAAAATGTGTGTTGATAATCATACTCTGGAATAATCATTTAAAAATGTTACTGTTGAATTGTTAGCTTTCTTTTTTCATAATAAATATTGTTTAAAAAGCGCCTGATAATTATACACCAACCCAATATCTAGCCAACTGCTTAGTCTTTGTATATCTATATTGATTCAGTTGGTGCATAATTATCAGGCGTTTTTGTATGCTAGTTATTTGTTAATAAAAAACTGCTGTTTTGTTTACTTTTTAATAATTTTCAGATTATAAAAATGCCTATTGATAATCATATGCTCCAGAATAATCATTTAAAAATGTTATTGTTGAATTGTTAGCTTTCTTTTTTCATAATAAATATTGTTTAAAAACGCCTGATAATTATGCACCAACCCAATATTTTGAGTAAGTTGCTTTCATTGGTTGATTCAATAATTCAGATGATGAACAGAGTACCTTATAGAATTCTTCATGACCCTCCCTACCTCCTTTGAACCTTGACCCCTAGTGAGTATGGTATATACATTTTCATACAACAGCTGGTACACCAGTCATTCTGGTTTAAAAAGAAAAAAAAAAATCACCTGAAACAGGTGTTATTGATTTGCATGGGAACAAATTGGATAATCTGTATATATTTGGTTTGTGCCATGTTGATTATTTTATTGCTGAGGGAGTTGAGGAAGTATACAATAACAGGGCTAAGAGAAAAAACATAATTTTGGCACACCATTTTTTTGTGGGTTCAAAGGTTAAACTTTGCCACTCTACTTAGCTCCTGAGAGCTACTTGGCAGAAATTCTCTCGGCCTGAAAAATACATTAAATTGTCATAATTCTCATGTATTTTCTTTTGTTACATCATTATTTTTATTACCTGTGACACTATTTAGCTATGGTAATTGATTAACTAATTAACCATAAAAATTAAACAAAAAAATACCGAGAATGGAAAAGAAGACACCCCAAGATTTTATTTTTACTTTTAAAAAAAGTTACTTTTCTAAAGAACCTGAGAATTTGCATGAACAGTGGACTCAGAAAAAGGCCATATGGCAAGCTTTTGACAATTGATTAATGATGTTTGTAAAAGTACTGGTTAAACAAAGCCCAAGAACAAGTTATCATTCAAAATCACAAGATCTTAGAAGACGGCCAGGCGATGAAGCCATGTGTTGATTGTAAGAATTTTTGGCATGGGAAGATGTTCCAAGAAATATGTCATTCAAATTGAAAGATTTTGTTTTTTTTTACTTTCCCAAGAAACTGAGGATTGGCATAAACAATAAATTCACAAAAAGCCATGTGGCGAGCTTTTGACAATTGATTTATGATAATTATAAAGAAAACACGAAATAGACAAAGAGCGTCTGAGATATCATTTGAAATCACCAGATTTTAGAAGTTGACCAATCTATGGGGGCCATATGTTGTTTGTAAGTCGAAAAAAGGGAATTCCATAAACAACGTTGATAATTTTGAAATCCTGAAATAAACAGGGATGTCAAAGGGTTAATTAATGAAGCAAGCTTAGCCACACCCGCACAACTGAGATGCTATTGGTTGAGTGGTAGCAATGGTGATAGGCGGAGGTAAATTGGTATGAAAGACAAAGAAATTACTAATGCCCACCAAAAGGAATTGGCATGAGGTACCTGTGTGAAGGAAGTAGCTTAGGAGGATAGCTATCCTGCAACTTCTCACAGACGAAGGGATCCCCCCAAAAATGGAAAGTAATTAATTTTCCAAAATGTGAAGTAGTCAATTTTCTTAGCTGGACAACAAAGTGGTCCCTTGTCAGAAATCAGGAATTACCAAGAACCCCAGGCTGTGTCTAGCCCCGCACCAGTTTTTGATTGATGTCCATATAAGTGAGCGCCCTCGAGCAGTTTGCCATTTATTTTGAGTTGGAGTTGGAGTTTCAGTTCAGTTCACTAGCAGGAACCAGAGAGTTCCCTCACAGAAGCTGACCGAGAGATTCCACAACTTCCGTCTCTGACCTCGCCTTTCTACAAGACAGCAAGTTATACTGATGAACAAAGCTAAATCAGCACCTAAAAACTAAACCAGTTGACTTAGAAGACCAGATATACCTAGAAGTATAATAGTGTCACTCTCAGAAGAAACAGGTTGGGAAAAAACACATACTCCTGTATAGAACAGACTGATAAAAGTTGATTTGTTTTCTTTCAACATACCCAAACCTTTTACTGGTTTTTATTCATTTCGTTTTTTACGCTTGTGTGACATCACTTCCATTTTAGACATATATTGGTGGTAGCAACTAAGTCAACCCCAAAATGCTGGTAGGAAAAGTATCACAGCTTCATGCCATGACTAGGAGTTGACCCAGGCCAACAATACTGTGACACAACTTATAAAAATATACATCCTGGGTATGATGATAAAGTACATCTGGCAGCAAGGCACCTGATTGGGGGGGTTTGACAAGCATGGAACCACCTCTTAATTGCTGTTGTTCCAATCATGGAATCATTTTGAGTGTGAATATTTTTTTTTTTTAATAATAGAAATGAAGATTAAATTCTGGTAAAAGAAATGAAATTGATTTTCTTTTTTCTTTTTTTTTTTTTTTTTTTTTTTTGTTTCAGGTGGTAAATATATTCAAATGGCTGAAATTGGTGCACAAAATCCCAAAGAAGGAATTCACATCAACTTCTAAGTTGCCTCCTGATCTGAAGATTAAAGTCCAGGCAAGTTGGAATATGTTGTTGTTCTGGAAATAAATCCATATATGTTTTTTCTTTGTTTTAAATATATACTTTCGTAGTACAGAACCTTTATTGTTTTACCTTCCCTTTGTTCATCCCCTTTTAATTTTAGATTAGTCACAAATTTTGATCACTTCCTGTTAGCTCTTAGTTTTTTCTTTTTTTTTTTTTTCACAATCATGTTCATTCTGTAAAAAGTCCTAAGAGCCACTTGAGGTAGAGGGTTACAGAGTAAGAGGCACCATCCCCAAACAAGGTGATAATGCCACCAAGACACAAAGGGTCACTAGAAGTGAAAAACAAGGAAAAGGAGTTTATATATATATATATATATATATACACACACACACTCACACACATTGTGTGTATTTAGGCAGCATTTTTTTCATTGATGCATATTTCATTAAATAATATAGACATGTTTTGTCTATTTATTTTAAGCAAATTCCTTTCATATCATCTAATAAGCTTAACATTATCATTGAAAGATGAAAGAAAATCACCATATTGATACATTTTTTTTAATCCTATCTAAGCTTCCGGCTTACATAACATACATGCATATATATATATATATATATATATATATATATATATACACGCACACAGACAGACAGAGGATGTGATGGGTAAATTGTTGCCATTTTATATTTTTAATGTCACACATGTGCATTGTTTGTTTTTTATTTTGTTGACTGTACAGTATAATAGGGTCAGTTTGGCACTGTCTGTGAGAAAAAGAGCCTATGACATAATTTACCATGCCAGAAATTTGGAAATGGCATGCTATACTGCTTGGTATTCATACCGGAAACTCCAATACAGAGACTTCAGAGTGCTTGGGTGCCAATCTGAGGACAGTGCAGAGGATTTGGAAAGAGTTGGAGGATTTATCCAGTCAGCATCATGGTGTTTGGAGTGATCACTAGTGATGGCAACATTATGCCTCCATTCACCCTTCCCACAGGGTCTCAGTCTCAACACGGAGACCCATATCAAATGCCATGAGAAGGTAGTGCTATCCTGGGTCAAGAGGGTGGCTGCTGGAAGACCCTATGTCTGGCAACAGGATTTTGCACCATGCCATACAAGCAGGATAACCCAGTCATGACTACAAAAAATTTCTGCAAGTGCAACCCCCTTAATTATTATGCAGTTGTGTGGGAGACCAACAAAACTCCTTGTAGTATCAAAGATGAATTGATGCAAGGATTATGGAAGCATTCACTAACTTAAACAAGGAGACCATCTAGAAGAGTTGCAGGAGATTCTGAAGTTGTCTGAAGGCTGTGGTTGAAGCCAATGATGATTTTTTTTTTTTTTTTTTTTTTTTTTTTTTTTGAATAAATTTACTCTATAGTATTTCATGAGATTCAAGATCTAGAACATTGCTCAAAATCCAGTGTGTGTGTGAAATAAGGGTTAAACTTCTACTCCATTTCAAATCACCAGAATTGGCAGAATAATGCACAGACACAAGCACACAATTAATATTTTCCTATATTGCTAAACTATACCCAATGATAGTTTTGCCATTTCACTGTTCCACCTCCGATGTACACATCTGTCTCACATGTATTCATACCTCAGACAGCCAGGTAAACATCCTTTTGGCTTTCAATAACCCTGAGGATGAACAGGACTTTGTCTTCAGAGTTTTCATTGCCATAAGAGTTTTGAGAGACGCCCGTGTGCAAGATGGATGCATTCATGGTGGCCAACACACTTCAACTCTAACATCGCCACCCAGACTTTGAAATTTTATTTACTAGTTATTCATTTCTTTTTTCTATCAATAGAAGTAGATAAGTTCATCTATCGTCCAGTTTACACTCCTCCCCAGTCTTTTGAACAAGTGTAGAGGTTTATCCTTTATTTCCTGCTTAAGATTGTGTTCACAGTACTTTCTAAAGTTTTTTTTTTATTCTCTTTTACTCCCAATAGCCCCTTGTATCTCAGTGGCATTATCACCTTGCTTGATTAATATAGAGGGTTGTTGTCATATGTCCTCAAGCCCCACACAACCTTCTGATGGGTCATTTTCCAATTCGTTTTCTATGAGGATTATTGGGAGCGGGATGCTATGAATCATTGCTTATGAGATCATGGTATACCAAAACCACATTTTTTTCCTAAAATTATTTAAATATTTTTGAATATGGAAAATGACAGTTAGTTTCAATGTAATACTTGTCTAGTGAGAATTTTCCAATGACCCATTGGTAGGTCGTGTTGTAAAATGGATTCAGGTACTGAATGATACACCGGTGGGTCATTCGTATTAAATACTACTTATGATAGAGATTTACTTCAAACCCACCATTCAGGTTGTGACACAAGGCTGGTTTTTAGCGTGGGGACCTGAGTGTTTTCACCTGAGCTGCTGGTCTTAGCTGGTCAGAGCTCGTCTAAGCTAGTCATAACTGGTCTTAGTTAGTCATAACCTGTCCAAGCCATTCAGAGCTTGTCCAAGCTGCAATATCACCTGCGCCAGGTAATTATGAATACTACCTATGATATGTCTCATATATGAAACAATATTAAAAATAAAGTCACTTGTACCAAAATTAATTAAAATATAGTGTTGGGACCATGGTACAATGATAGAAATGAGGCTTGGGAACCAACAGGTTAACAAAAACTAAAAAAGACGTAATTTATCTCTCTATTTGATTGTTGATATAAGTGCAGACAGAACTTAAAATTAAACATACATTTATCTTGAAGTTTTAATTTCATTTTTTTTAAATTAACAAAATTTATATAGTTATGAATAAAATTAAAATAATCTGAATTAACAAATGTTATTTGAATTTCTTTAATGAATTATTACTTTTATTAATAATGTTTAATGAGTTTTATTTTATTTCTCTTGATTGTTTACAACTAGTATGACATAAGAAGACCTAATATTTTTCACCTACTGCCATTTCATAGATCCTCAATTGGTCTCTAGCATTTGCTTTTTTGGGGCATTGTTTATCTCACATGTCCTTCATTTGTTGCTTGTGGGCCCATTGTGTTTTTCATGCAGTTGCATTGATTAATTGCTACTTGAAAGGTGCTTTAAAAATTCTTTCTGGCCCACCACTGAATAGATTTTCAAAGACAAATTCAACATTCACTATATTTAATACTGACAGCTAAATCTTCTCCATCAATCATCTTTGCTTCTTACTCAAACCAAGAAGGAATAACATGCTGTATTCCATGTGTATTTGGCCAGCTTGCATCTTTTTATCTTTCCTCAACACAGGATAAAATTCTTTATTGGTGTGCCATGTCCTTTTAGGATGTTGGTGATCATGACTCTCTACATGTAGCAGAAATGCAAGCAGAGCAGCCAATTGCTACTGATAACGGTACCCTCCTTTGTTGGTCAAAGAGACAATATTTAGTGTACTGTCTCTGTACAAAGACAGCATATGGCTGTTGTGTCAGAACAGAGCTGGTGCAAACTCCAGAGGTTAGGTTACCAACTTCCCCATGAGATAATCAGGATGCCATGCTGAGCAGTGTTAGCTATGCAAATGATTCCTTTGCTAGCTAGCCAACTGCTATAAAGTTTTAGGCTCCATAAAAGCAGGCACATTTTCTGGGAAGGAGGAAAGCTTGACAGTGTGCTGCATTGACCACACAATGGGATTGTCATGTGTTATCAAAGATTTTTATTTGTGTTACCCAGTATTGTTTCAAATTCGTTTGTCCATTTTTGTGTTTCTGGTATCTTGGTTGTGTTCATCCCATACATGTGATGATCCCATGTAGAATTCTTGTCCATGCCCTTTTTGTTGTGCTCCAGTCTTTTTTTATCAAGTTTTCCATCCCTCTTTGTTGGCAGATATCCAACCAATAAGAAGAAAATCCCTTCTGTTCTTTGTAGCTCTTACTAAATTTTGTCATTTTGTAATCTCTCCTAAACTCAGTTCTGTCATCTATTTACACAAGCTTGCTCGGTACATTATGCAGTTTTCCTCTCTCGCCCCCTTGCCTTCAATCTATCCTATAAGTATAAAATTTTCCAAGCCCTTTTTCCTCATTATGTGTCATAGTAATTTCAACTATCTCTTCCTGATGTTAAGTATAAGTTTCCTTCTTGTTTCCATTTTCTCTAAAATTGCTCACATGTTCAATCCATGGCATCCTCAGCATCCTTCTGTAGAACCACATTTCTGTTGCTTCAAGTTTCTTCATCTGTGAGGACATTTTTTCAGCATTTATTGCCATATCGGAGGACTGATATTACATAATAGTCCAGTACTCTTTTCTTTGTTTATAACAATTTTTTTCTGTTTTATAATACTTTACTTAGCTTTTGAAAGGCATCTTTTTCTATCCTAATGCATCTTCAGATTTCAGTATTGCACTTCCCATCTTCAGTTAAAACACTCCCCAGATATTTAAATTGTTGCACTTGTTTGATTTGGTATTTTCTAATTTGTAATTTGCATGTTGGACTGTTCCTTTTGCTGACAACTGTGCATTCCATCTTTTTAGAATTAATGTTTAGTCCTTTCTTCTTGCTTTCCTTTGCTACCTTCTGTAAAGGTTCTTGTAGTTTCCTTTCTGTGTCTGCATATCTTATATTGTTTCAAACCAGTTTTCAGCTGTGTGTTCAGTTTCTGTTTTCTAAAATGTGGGCGCATATTAATTTTGCACACACCTAATATAAATTCTTCATAATTCCTTGGAAAATCATATTTGCTAAGTTTAAAGCCAAAATCAAGCAAGTGCAGAAATTTACAGAGAATGTGACACCAAAATTCAAAGGCACATTGGAATAGTGAAAGATGCCTTTTGAAAGCTAAGTATTAAGAAATAGGAAAATTTTGTTAGAAACAAAGAAAAGAGGACTGAACTGTTATGTAATATCAGTTTCTCTGAATGGCAGTGAATGCTAAACATTTTCCTCACAGATGAAGAGTAGGCAAAAAAAATGTGATTCTCCAGAGGGATGCTATGAATACCATGTATAAAGTATTTGAATATTGAGCTACAAAGTAATATCAGTCCTCCTATATACCAGTGAAAGCTGGACAATTTTTTCATGGATGATGAAGCGGCAACAAAAATGTGCTTCTACACAAGGATGTATACTTACAATAAGAAAGAAACAGTTGGAATTTCTGGGATGCATAAAAAAGAAAAATGTTTTAGTGAATTTGGTATTCATAGGACATATTGAAGCCAAGATGGATATAGAGTAATACTGAGTAACCTACCTTAGCTAAATGGATGGTAGAACATGGACTGGGAGTGATAGTAAGGAACAGACATGAAGAAATATAAAGGATAGGAAGTTGGGGAGAGCCATGATCGCTTGCGTCCTGATTGGACATGTTCCATAAAAGAAGAAATTTTAAGATGTGTCAGTTTTCTAACACAGTTTTCCTACCTACAATTCTTTCGCTTTCTCTATCAAAGAATATTGTTTTCTTGTTTAAATGTCAGATTTAATATTCAATGTTACCATTTTCCCTTTTAAAATGGGGAAGTGGTTGATTTGGGATGCAACCGGTGTGGATACATTTTCGGCCGGTAATTTGATCAGGTCCGCGGTTGAGCCAGGGTCCGTCGCCCGGGACGCAGAGATAAAAAAAAATAGTTAAATATTCTTCTCTTGCTGATAGATTTTTTTTTTACTCCTGTGTCAGTGAAGACTTCTGGGGTTATTGGTCCTCGTTCGATGGCGTTCTTTCAGAGGATTGGCATGATTGCGTCTCAATTAAAGGACGAGCCTCACGAAATGGAGTGGCTCTTGGAGTGTGTCTCACTGACGATGGTTCGAGGTAATGCTTTGTCCATCATTGTGGCTGGCAGAGGATAGAAAAAAAAATGTTTATAGTCACTTTGTTCAAATTTTTTTTTTTTTTCAATAAATAAATTTCTCATTGTTAAAAAATATTCAATATCTTTTGTTCCATTTCAGGAATTCTCTGTGCATTTGGGCGATGATCCATTTGAAGAAAAAATCAGAGACAATTATGAGGTAAGTTAGTCTATAAAATTACCATCTTGAAATTTCCCATTTTTGCCATTTATTTAAAAGTATTATTACATGTTTAAGCTTGCTATCATATTGTAAATCTTGAGAGTGGCTGATAAGCTCATGATGACAGAGGTGGACTTGCAATGATGTCCATCAGGGGGACTGGCAGCTGTCAAAAGGATGAAGATGTGACAGCATCCATATTGCAAATGGCTGGTTGGCTGGCTGACTGACAACATCACAATGATGGAGGTGGATGTGTGACAACATCCACTGTGCATGTGGGCAAGAACTTCACAAATAGATAAGATTATTACTTAATAGCAATAGAAAATAGATCCCTCTTTAAATATCCAACAAATCAGTATGTTAGTACTGGGTTACCAATGTAATAAATGATACCGTCTTTTGTCAATTATTAGCTTTCACTGATATGTTTATTTTATAAATTTTATGTTAATATGTATTAATTAAGGTGGAATTAGTTTATTACTTAATAACTTTGTAAAACTGGTCTCTTATTAAATTTCATCTGAACTAAATAACAAATACCACATCAGTTGAAGCCGTCCTGGGTATGACGATAAACTGTATCCACATCCTGGTTAAGATAATAAACTACATCTAACAGCAAGGCCTCTGATCAAGAGTTTTTGAGAAGTGTGAAACCACCTCTTAATTTCTGGTGTTCTCGGGTCCACCCTGACTTGGAATAGTAGGTCCCAGCTATGGGTAAATAGTTAACCCCTAAACCCATCTGTGTCCTGTATAAGATGAAAAATTACATCCGGCGTCCTGAGTAAAAATATAAACTACATCCACGTCCTGGGTCAGACAATAAACTACGTCCAACAGGAAGGCCTTTGATCAAGAAGTTTTGAGGATTGTGGAACCACCTCTTAATTACTGTTGTTCCCAGATCCACCCTGACCTGGAGTGGTAGCACCTGTTAGGGTCCCAGCTATGGGCAAATAGTTAATCCCCAAACTGGGGTCAAAACACTATGAAAGTGTAAAAATAGGTTTTAATAAATTTTTGGAGGAAAAATTATTACCAGCAATAAATTTTTGAGAAAAAAATATGACCAACAATACATTTATGAAGAAAAAAATATAATCAGCTATGCATTTTTGAGGAAAAAGATATTACCAGCAATAAAAATCTTGTCGGCATTAAATAACCCATTGAGGTGTTGATATGCCGTAAAACAAACCAATCAGTTGAAGAATTCCAGCAGCAGTTAAAATGGATAGCATGTGTAAATTGAAGAGAGAATAATGACATAATCAAGATGCTGACATTCCAGACTTTGTTTTATGCAATGATGTTCACCTGTTACAAGGCTCAAAAGCCAATCAATGTAGAGGGTTATAGAGTAAGAGGAGCAGTTTATGGGGATATGTGGTAAAGATAACAGTTGACTCCAGACTTGAACAGGTTAAGATTGTAGTGATTGGGAAAGCATCCTCTTGGGAGTCGGCACCACAAAACTGCACTAATTCAAATTAAAGGTTATAAAGGAAGCCCCCATCAATAATAGAACACTAACAGCTATTTTCCTGAAAACTGTTTCAAAAGAAAGATTTTACAAGTTTCAGCTGAAAGCAGCAGTAAATGTAATATGCTACCTTATAAGGAAACACTAAATACCATTAGAAAGGCGGTAAAAAATAACAACATATTTTGTTAAATCATTGAGTCTTTATATATATATATATATATATATATATATATATATATATATATTTTATTGTGTGTGATGGTTGGTGGGTTGAACAGTATATTTTCAATCATTGGGTTTGTCAGCATCTCCATGGTAATGATTTACCTGGTCTTAACTAAACAAAGTCAAACATACAATAGAATTTACATATGAAATGGAAAAAAAAAAATTTTCCCTATCCTAGATATCATGCTACACAACGTTAATAGTAACTCAAAACTTAGTGTCCACTGAAAATCAACTAATAAAAATGATCTTATAAATTTCTATTCTCACCAGAACAACAAAATAAAATCTGGAATAATTGTTGGATTCTACTTAAGAGCACTCAGAAGTTGCAGCCCTGATTATGTTTACATGAAGAGGAGAAATACATTAAAATACTTTCAAGACCCTTTAATGCTCTATTTTATATTCAATGTGAAACAAATGGCTCATAAAATATTTTAAATAGAAAAGTAATCCTTCCTGACAAAACCAACAAAATATATTGATGACCTCTTTTATTAAGCCATTACTATTAAATACATAAAGAAGTATGGTCATTATAAAAAATTCAGACTGAATATGAATTTATTTCACTCCAAAAAGAAAGCATGAAGAAAATTTCTGAACTTCTCCTCCCCCTTCATCAGTCAAAGATTTGCACTGGTTTTAATTGTTATGTTCAAATGCAATAGTACAGTATAGATTTGGAATGGATATTAATTTAAAATTCTCACAGAAGATAATTCAATGATTCAAAAGTCTTTGAAAAAGAAGGGTCTTCAATAGATTTGGGTTAAGCTTTAGTTGTTGCTTGTAGATAAAAACATACAAAAAAATAGTTGTTTTTTTAATCATCTGAGAGAACTTTTATGCCTTCTATTAGTTTGGCTGATGTTAACCTCCAAGAGAGTGACTCCTGGCATCTTTTTGGGCGAATGTTTTACACTTGCATGAAGTGGAAAGATTATACTGAATCAATTGCTATATCTGCTGCTAGGAAGGTTGTTTCATTGTGTTGTGCTAGATAAGTTTTTTTTTGCCAGAATCTATTTTACATATAATTTGTGGATATCACTGATACATTTGTTTTGGTGCTTCTGATAGATATTTTGCAATTCTTGATAAAATACAAAGAAGAACATTCAATATTTTGACCTGTCACTTCAGCTTCAGTCACTTTATGACTGCTGTAACAGCTTCCATGTACCTTTTCAACAAATATTTTCATGGTAATTCTTCTGATGAGCTTTCATTTTTGGTACCTAGACTTTATGAATTTAAGCATACTATTTAGATTAAGGGAGGCATGGTGGTGTAATGGATAGCAGCTTGGATTGAGGAATCAGAGAACTGAGTTCGAATTCCGGTCAAATCAATTACATTCACTTACGTGCTATTACCCTTGGGAAAGGTATGAATTCTCTTCTTCTCCATCCAGTTATGGATAAATAGCAGGACAGACTGGGATACCATAGAAAGAAATGGCAACCTACTGCAGGAAAAAATCTACCTCGTCAGTCATGTATCAAAAAGATACTTGATTTCCTGTGCATGTATCACACATGGCACATAACAAAGTCTCTTCATTTTACAGTTGAAATAGTCAGATGTAACCATAAATTCTATGCTAAAAGTTTTTTTCTCTCACTCTTCTTGCTTGTGGAACTCTCTTCTGCTTCTTACATACAAGTCAAGTTTGATTTTCAAAAATTTAAATGCAATGTCAAGCGTTATCTACTGTCTTCCTGATTACTCTTCTATTGTTCTCGCTCAATTTTCACTTGTGGAACTCTCTTCCAGCTTCTTGCTTTCCAGTCAATTTTGATCTTCAAAAATCTAAATGCAATGTCAATCTTTATTTACTGTCTTCCTGATTACTCTTCTATTGTTCTCAATCAATTTTCACTTGTGGAACTCTCTTCCAGCTTCTTGTTTTCCAGTCAATTTTGATCTTCAAAAATTTAAATGCAATGTCAATCGTTATCTACTGTCTTCCTGATTACTCTTCTATTTTTCTCACTCAATTTTCGCTTGTGGAACTCTCTTCCGGCTTCTTGCTTTCCAGTCAACTTTGATCTTCAAAAATTTAAATGCAATGTCAATCATTATCTTCTTTCTTTTTAATTCTTGTTCTTTTAATGTTCTCTCTCTTTAATAGTATTTGTTTTTTTGTTCGTTTTTCTCATATTCACTAAAGCCAACCTTGTGTCTTAGTGGCTTTATTTCCTTGCTTGGAGTGAAATAATTAAAAAAAAAACTCCTTATCTGATTTGTTTCATTTCAGCTTCTGCGTGATGAATGGGCTGAGAACGAAAAAAGGAGATTTGTTCTGGACCAGAAAATCCTGGATATTCGTAAAGCCTATGTCTTACTGCCAGGTAAATAAAGAGAAAACTCTCATCATTAATTTTTTTAATTTTGTAACACTCAATTCAGGCTAAATGTAAGACTCAGAAATGTGGTTCTACAGAAGGATGCTGAGAATACCATGGATTGAACATGTGAAAACAAAAAGGACACTTTGAATCAGAAAGTAACAACGGAAATTTCTCTGGCACATAATGAAGGAGGAGGGTTGGGAGAATTTCACACTCACAGGACATATTGAAAACTAGAGAGACAGAGAAAAGCGACAAGAACCTACCTAACAAGCTTGTTTAAAAGGTTGGCAGAACAGGTATTATGAGAAAGAGCAAAAGGAAAAAACTTAGAGCTACAAGGGACAGGAAGTTGTGGAGAGCTATGAGCGCCTACATCATGAAAGAACATAGCACAATTAGAGCCTCAGCAATTCTCAATATCCCTGACATCCTTCATTCTAATTATTATTATTATTATCATAAGCAATGGAATTTTGATGGGATATGTTAAAGGCCCTTGTGATGGGATTCTCAGTTGAGCAAAAATGGAGATCTGGGGAAAATAAAAGCAAAAAGGACATTTGAAATCAGAAAGAGATGAAATTGCTCAGGCACTTCATGAGGAAAGAAGGTCTGGAGAATTTGACACTCACAGGATATATTGAAGACAAGAGGGGTAAAGGGAAACTGGGTGTAATCTACCTAACAATAACTGGGATTGATACCATTTTCCTCCAGCCACCCAAGTGGTTAATGAAGTTAGTAAGGTAGGCCATTACCACTTGAGAAATCAAAGAGCTGAGTTCAAATTCCAGTTGAGTTCATTACATTCATTTATATGCTAATACCCTTGGGAAAGATATGAATCTAACTCTTCTAAGGTATTGGTAAATAGTAGGAAAGACTGGATTCTGTAGCCTTGGGTGGCAACTGGTCTAGGAGAAGGAAACTCTGAATTCAAAACTATGTAGCCCTGGTGAAGCACATAACAGCTAAGGAAAGAATCATTTGCATTGTCTCAATGATCCCAGCTATGGTCAACTCCTTTTATTGACATTATTTACATTTGGAATAATGTTCTCAAGTCTGTTGCTATCACAAAGTTTCATCCATTGTACCTTCTGGACTTTGTCAGGTGTCTGTTGTTCCAGGTAAACTTCAAGGAATTTTGAACTGAACCCTTTATTTAATCTATGATGGTAGATTATTCTAGTTCCTCAGTCCACATCTTTTTGTCCCATGGAAAAAAAGCATAGTGGAGTAAAGTGTTCACTTCTGAATTTTCTGTCATAGTAATTGTAAGTTCAATCCCTGGGCTGGGTAGTACAGACTCAGATTTAGTGGAAATAGGACAAGCATTAAAAGATGACAAGATATCCCTAGACATGGACACTCTACAATCTACACTCATAGATTTAAAAGGTTCAGATTCGAAATCCATGAAAGCTACCTGGATTAACAGATACCTGAAGAAGGCTAGAGAGCACAATGTATGAGGAAGGCTGCAGGGCACAACGGCCAAAACGTTGTGGTAATAACAACATAGATAGGTCATTAATAAGTAATGTAAATAATGATAAATTAGGGAAAAAACATTCAGATAGAGATGTATGGATAATTACATATTTTCCATCCCTATTGTTTATTAAAATTTTTTAAGTGAATATCTTCAACAATTTCCCAAAGAATTGTTTTCAGAATTTCTGGGATGAGGATACTATTTATATTTGGACTATTCTCCTCAACTTTGTTGTTTTTTATCACAGCAGTCCAGCCATGCCTGCTTGTAATTCTCAACTGAATCCTTTATTTAATGTTGATTAAATAAAGTGTTCATTTGTTGTTGTTATCACAATCTTTTGGCTGTTGTACTCTCTCGCCTTCCTCAGGTGTATATCAATCTGGGTAACCTACAGGGAATTCTGAAATGACACCTTTATTTAATCTATGGGGGTAGACTGTTCTTGTTCTACAGCTCATGACTCTGGATATTGTCAGATTTTTATTTAGTACCATTCAGTTATTGCTTGCCTGTTTCCATTGAGTGCAAGTACTCACTGCCCAACCCAGGGATTGAACTCACAACCACTATGTCACCAAATTCATAAACTAATGCTTTTACCCACTAGGACAATTTGCTTCAGTAAGCTTAGACCCTAACATTGGCTATTGATTAGGCTGCAACTGCTTCTGCTGGCTGTTATGTTTTGACTGCTACTGCTGCTCATGTTTTGATTGCTACTGCAGTTGCAGGCTTGTTGTCATTTTTCTTACTTTCTTTATTAGCTGCTCCTATATTGTATTTATTGCTATGCTAGGCCTTACTAAGCGAGTGCTCATAGCCTAGCATGTAGTTTCCCAGAGAATGTTATTTCAGGTTACATGTCCAACCTTAAAAATGTCCTGTTGCTGTAATCTATATCTGTAATCTATACTCTATCTATAATATCTATCTGTATATGTAATCTATGTTTGTGATCTATATTTGTATTATATCTGTAATCTGTAATGTTATATTCTTTTCGGAAGGTAACAGCATAGAAGATCTGTACACATCTCTAGCCAAAAAAAGTGCTGAGATTTACATCCAGAGATCAAAGCAGCTTTATTGTAAGGCTCCAATCAGAAGTAAATTGTTCACTTGGCAAATTGAAAACCTTGAGATTGTTGCACTTGCTGACCTTTCTTATCATGGCAAGAAAGCGGTTGTGAATCACATGCAACAAGTGGATTCAGACAGGTAAATGTTTTATCATTTTTAACTTTCATCATCTCTGTAAAATTCTTAATAGTTTTACTTTAATAATGAAGAATATAAATGAAGACAGATGTCAAAAAGATGTAGAAAAGATGTAATTTATCCCTGAGGAATGTGGAAGAATTTAATTTGATGGTTATTCTTTCCTTTTTTTTTTCTTTGAATAGTCCCTACCCTGAGGAGGGTCTGGAATTCAACACACTCTGGTGTCGAATGGTGACATTTGATGTCAAAGTGCTCACATTGATTCTACGAGACTACCCACAACCAATGCTTGATGTCAAAGACATGCATGCCTGGGGAAAACTTATTGGTGCTGTCCAAGAAGGAGTGAAAAGATGTAACACTGAAAATCTTTATTTCATTGATATTTTTGAGAATGCTGTCAATGTTTGTTTTAGTATGTAATCAGATATATTTAGTTACCTTCAAAGATTTTCTCAGCATACATGGTGAAATAATGCCACAAAATTAGTAGAAAAAGAAAATTCTATTGTCAAAATATTTATTATTAAGGGGAACGACCAAAGATTATTTGGATTATTAAATTATATTTTTTATCCTTTTTAGAACGTTCGAAATTTTAGTTAAAAATTTGGTGACTATATATAGTATGGAAAATTTTAGTGTCTTTTTGTGGGGAAAAACATTGATTTGAAAATAATTGCAAAAATCAAATAATTGCCATATTTTAACAAAACTTTTAAGACTTAATCACAAATGAATGAAATTATTTTAGAAATGTTTCTTTTTTAAAAAATCTTGGTAAAAAAATTTTTTTTTTACGTCTGTTACTTCTCTCCACTTATTTAATTTTATGAAATTTTGTAACACTTAAAGTTAATATTAGTTATAAGTCATTTGAGAATTCATACTCTCATTTTTTTTTAAACAGGACCTTCAATTACAGAAAATTTGCTCTGAATCGTAAAATAAAAAAAAGTAATAAAACTAAGACATTATTTAAGTAGAAATGTTTTTAATCATTAATTTATTTTTTTCTTGCATCAGCAGATGACTATAAATTAGTATGCGAAATTTTAGTTTTTTGTGGTGAAAATACATTGATTTGTAAATTCTTGCAAAAATCAAATAATTGCCATATTTTAACAAAAATTTCAGGACATAATCACAAATGAATGAAATTAGAAATGTTTTTTTTTTTTTTTTTTTTTTTTAAAATCTTGGTATTTTTTTTACATTACATTTTTTTTCACTTATTTATTTTTATGAAATTTTAAGAAATTCATTTTTGTAGAGCCAGATATTTATATTAGTTATAAGGACAAGTCCTTGGAGAATTTAAATCATGAAATTGTGTGAGGTTGGGGAAGCCACTCAATAGTTGGTATGTTGAAAAATTGATTAATTGATTTGTTTAATGGTATATCAACTCCTTATGGTTCATTTAATGCTCATAGCAAAGAAAAAAAATTTTACCTCGTCAAAAAGTTCGACAGTTTTTGGAATTAATGTATTCTACGACGGAAAAAGTGGTGAAAAGAAAATTACTTACCAAACAAAAGGGCATGTATTCCACATAACATGCTGAAAATGGAATATTTGGATTAAAAAAAAAAAAGTCCGTCGGGAGGAGCCGCTATAAAAGTATTTTGATATGCAAATTACTGAACATCCTATCCCAACTGTCGATTGAATGAAAAAAATAGGTTCTGCCGATAAAAGCAGTTGGTGTTATCGATTCGAGAGCAGAAAATTCAGGCATTTTTGGCTACAGCGTTTGTTAGTGAGTTATTTTTCTGATTGGTTACATGCATTGGGATTTGAGATTGTTCTGGTGAATCGAGTTTTCAGCATTTCTTTCTGCCCCCGATATTCGAGTCTGTACTCACAGTGATTTTTCTTTGTGTTGTGGAAGTAATCTGCGACAAATGCTTACAGTGCTGAAATTTAATTTTCTTGGAAGCTTTGAAGTAATGGTGATATATATATATATATATATATATATATATATATATATATATTCAGTGTTATTCTACTTTCACAATTGAGTACATGGTAGATGATTCTCAGCTTTTGTGCATATACATGTTTATGTAGACATAATTATGAGAGACAGTGATATGTGCATTTTATGTTTTTGTTGAAGTTATATTTTGGAATACAGTTTGATTTCTTTAAGAAATTGTAGGATATTATATGGATTAATCTTATGAAAGAGTTCTTTAATGTTGATATATTGTTGGTAATTTTACTATAAATAGGTATTGTTGGTAATTTTTTTTATATAAGAATGTATTGGTGGTATCTTTACTATAAAAATGTATTTTTATACTCTTATAAGGTTTTGTTTTTGTTTGGGGGTTCACTATTTGCCCATAGATGGGACCCTAACAGTTGCTACCACCCCAGGTCAGGGTAGACTTGGGAATAACAGCAATTAAGGAATTGTTCCATGCTCCTCAAAAACTCCAATCTCCTGATCACAGGCTTTGCCACTGGATGTAGTTTATCGTATGCTGGACTATGTGGAGAAATAGTTATAAGCATAAACTGTACTTTATTTCTGTGATGTGTTTATTATCAAAAGTAAATATTTCCCACTGCACTTTATGTTGATAGTTTTATAAGGCTTATAGGACCCCAAAAAGTACTCCTCTGCCTTTACAAAGAGCCAGAATCTGCCTTTACAAAAAAATAGATTACCGTTGTTAATATTTGGTTGAAGCTGCCCATACAGTCTTAACAAGGTGATGATCACTGTATTTTACAAGAGCCAGATCAAACCCTTCCTGCTTTCCTCTGCCTTTTACAAGAGCCAGATCAGACCCTTCCTGCTATCCTCTGCCTTTACAAGAGCCAGATCAAAATAAATTGGTTGTAATAATATTGCCTTTTATATTTGCCAATACAGAATACCCAGCTGATACAGAAGGTGATGATTACAAAATAAGATCAATCACTTCCCTGATCCTCTGCCTTTTCAAGAGCCAGATCAAACCCTTCCTGCTATCCTCTGCCTTTACAAGAGCCAGACAAGCCGTAAATAGATTACCGTTGATAATATTTGGTTGAAGCTGCCCATACAGAACTACCCAGATCTAACAAGGTGATGATCTCCCGTATTTTACAAGAGCCAGATCAAACCCTTCCAAATCCTCTGCCTTTTACAAAGCCAGATGCCTTAAATATTGCCATCCTCTACATTTTTAAAGATGATCTACCTTGTATTTTACAAGAGCCAGATCAGACCCTTCCTGCTATCCTCTGCCTTTACAAGAGCCAGATCAGACGTAAATAGATTACCGTTGTAATAATATTTTTTGAAGAGCCATACAGAATCCCAGCCCTAACAAGGTGAGAATATCCTATTTTACAAGAACCAGATCAGACCCTTCCTCTGCCTTTACAAGAGCCAGATCAAATTTCCTGCTATCCTCGTTGCCTTTACAAGAGCCAGATCAACTTCCATAAATAGATTACATGTTACAAATAATATCAAATGTTGAAGCTGCCCATACAGAAACCAGATCAGACCCTTCCAGCTATGATCTACCTTTACAAGAGCCAGATCAGACCCTTATTGCTATCCTCTATTTTACAAGAGCCAGATCAAGCCGTAAATAGATTACCGTTGTAATAATATTTGGTTGAAGCTGCCCATACAGAACTACCAAGCCCTAACAAGGTGATGATCTACCGTATTTTACAAGAACCAGATCAGACCCTTCCTGCTATCCTCTGCCTTTACAAGAGAACCAGATCAGACCCTTCCTCTATCCGTTGTAAGGATATTTTGTTGAATAGAACTTTTCCTAACAAGGTGATGATCTACCGTATTTCAAGAGCCAGATCAGACCCTTCCTGCTATCCTCTGCCTTTACAAGAGCCAGATCAAGCCGTAAATAGATTACCGTTGTAATAATATTTGGTTGAAGCTGCCCATACAGAACTACCCAGCCCTAACAAGGTGATGATCTGTATTTTACAAGAACCAGATCAAACCCTTCCTGCTTTCCTCTGCCTTTAAAAGAGCCAGATCAAATTTTGATATCCGTCCTACCTTAATACAGATCACTGCCCGCTTATCCTCTCTGCCTTTACAAAGAGCCAAATCAGGTATTTTACAAAAAAGATTAGTTCTAATATTTTAAAAGATTACCGAAATAATATTTGCTTCAGCTGCCCATACAGAACTGACCCTAACAAGGTGATGATCTACCGTATTTTACAAGAACCAGATCAGACCCTTCCTGCTATCCTCTGCCTTTACAAGAGCCAAATAAATAGATTACCGTTGTAATAATATTTGGTTGATTCTGCCCTTTTTTAACAAGGTGAATCTACCGTATTTTACAGAACCAGATCAAACCCTTCCTGCTATCCTCTGCCTTTACAAGAGCCTGATCCAATAGATTCATTTAATAATATTTTTGAAGCTGCCCACCCAGCCCTAACAAGGTGATTTTTACAAGAACCAGATCCAGACCCTTTGCTATCCTCTGCCTCTAAGAGCCAGATCAAACCCCCAGCTATAAATTTATCCTGATATCCTCTGCCTTTGAGCCAAAATCAAGCCCAAATGCAAGACCCTTCAGGCTATTACCTTTTTTACAAGAACCAGATCAAACCCTTCCTGCTTATCCTCTGCCTTTACAAGAGCCAGATCAAATTTTAAATAGATTCAAACTGTATTTATTTGGTTGAAGCTGCCCATACAGAACTACCCAGCCCTAACAAGGTGATGATCTACTGTATTTTACAAGAACCAGATCAGACCCCTTCCTGCTATCCTCTGCCTTTACAAGAGCCAGATCAAGCCGTAAATAGATTACCTTTGTAATAATATTCAGTTGAAGCTGCCTTACAGAACTCCTCTGCCTTAACAAGATGAGCCCGTATTTTACAAGAGCCAGATCAACCCTTCCTGCTATCTCTGCCTTTTACAAGAGCCAGATCAAGCCGTAAATAGATTACCGTTGTAATAATAAGAACCAGTTGAAGCTGCCCATACAGAACTACCCAGCCTTAACAAGGTGGTGATGATCTACCGTATTTTACAAGAGCCAGATCAGACCCTTCCTGCTAACCATTATAAATCTTCCAGCTCTGGAATCTCCTCACTTTCCAGGTGTGAAAAGATAAACTCAAGTTTGCTATTTCCCAATTTTTGGTATTTTTGGAACCAACTCCCAAGAGGATGTTTCCCCAGCCACTACACTCTTAACATGTTCAAGTCTAAGGTCAACCATTATGTTCCCTACATATCTCCATAATCTGTATCTCTTACTCTTTAACTCTCTATCTTGAGTGGTTCTTGGACCTTGTACAAGGTAAATGTCATTGTATATTTAAAAAAGAAAACCTTAAAGTTTAATCTTAATTGTTAATATCCGCAGGGAATTTTGTTGGTCTAGCTAATTAGAATTATTTTAGTAACCATTTTGGAAAATCTTTTTTGCATTAAAAAATCATTTCAAAGTTTGCAAAATTTACTTTTCAGCAAAACGTTTATGTGTGGTTGAAGTTGATGATCCTTGGGAAAATATGACAGTTGAACGGAGTCTTCCTTCCATCAAATACTTTTATGACTTGAGCTGTGGTATGTAGAGTTTGACACTAAACTTTTTTATCAGTTAGAATTGAATTGAGTTTTATGAGTTGATTATAGCAACTTGCTACCATTTTTATTGATGTTAGATATAATTAAGAACCACTCACATAGCATAATGATTAGGAAGGCTAGTCTGGTTGAGCATTACTACTGAGTACAAATACAAAAGTCGAGCAAAAGTTTTAACTTATGGCATCCCCAGACTATGATGCCTTATTACTGAACACTGACTGATATTGAGGAAAGGTATCATGTCAAATGATAAAGACCTGAAAAGTAAGTGTCTATCACAAATTAATAAAAATGACCTCATAAATTTCTATTCTCACCATAACAATAAAATCTGGAATAATTATTGGATTCTATTTAAGCACACTCAAAATTAGTAGCCCCTAAAATTTACATGATGAGGAGAAATACATTGAGAATTC